TCTCAGCACCACATATAAATGGTCCATTGACAATTAAAACAAATCTTTTTTAAAAAAAGGGGACTTGGGATATGGCTTAGTGGAACACCCATGGGTTCAATCCCCAATACTTGTCCCCCACACACCAAAAGAGAAAAAACCTCTTAAGGAAAAGTTTCCTTTTTGGCAAATTTATTTTATATCTAGATCATGGTGGTCCGACTGAGCATTCTGAAGTATCCAGCTCTCAGGTTTTATGGCACATGCCCTACCTATCTGAGAGTTCATCCTGAAGATAGAGGATTTCTTTTCTTATGTGTGTGGTGATGGGGATTGAACCCAGTGCATTGTGCATGCTAGGCAACCACTCTACCAACTGAGCTACATCCCCAGCCCAATAGAGGACTTCTAAACCGAACTTGATTTTTAGTTTTAAGAAAACTGGAAAGGGCTGGGGATGTAACTCAAGAGGTAGAGCTCTTGCTCAGCATGTGTAAGACCCTGGATTCGATCCTCTGTGTGATAAAAAACAAAAGAATAAGCACACTGGAAGAGAACTTTGCCATGGAATCCTTGGGAAAAGGGATCTCACCATTACTAGCTTACCATCACCTATTTAACCAAATATTAAATAGTGAGGCCTCTACCAACTGTTTCTTATGGCTTTGATGAATCTGGCAAAAAAGGAAAAAGTATGGTGTTTTTAAGAAGGGATTTATCTGAATAGATCTTTCCTTTAACCAAAACAGAATACTGTATACCTTTTGGGACTACTGAAAGTAAGTCTACCAACTTAACATTTTGGGCTTAACATAATTAATGTTCTTTCTAAATCCTATTTGAACACGAACAGAGGTTCTGATATTGATCTAGCACCTACGTGGTAGGTAGAAAGCATAAGGGCTTGAATTCTACAGCATACAGTCTGTTGTCGCCAAGCACAAGGCTGAATTCTCATGTAAGTTCTGCATCCTTTTAGTTACTGTTAAAAGGATAGTTACTTACCTTTTATTTTTTTACCTAATAACCCCTAATTTTAGCATGAAGCATTCTGGCTATATATATGATCTAAATATGTGACTAGTGAAGTCGATAAAGTACTATAGAAATATGCTTCTATGTAATATTTATGTGAAGGATCTGAAGGAAATCAAAATAAGAGCCAGGCATGATGGTGGGTACTTGTAATCCCAGACACTCAGGAAGCTGAGGCAGAAGAATCACTGGAGCCCAGGAGTTTGAGACCAACCTTGGAAAATAGTGAGACTCGCCAATCTCAAAAACTAAATACTAAACATAGGGGGTGGATATGTAGCACAGTGGTACAATGCATGACTAGCATGTGAGAAGCCCTGGATTTGATCCCCAGTACTGGAAGAAAGGAAAAAACCTGCAGATTTTCAGGGCAAAATGGTTTGCACCTCCACTCCAGCCAAACATATCCTAGGCTATATCCAGAATGTTGTCTTTACTGAAAACTGCTTCACGTCTGAAAGATTCAATTCCAATATGCTTTCTTATCACAACCTTGCATCTGGTCTAGTTAAGAAGGTATCAATTTCTATCTCCACAATCTGTCTCCATCTTTTCATTCTTAATGCTACTTACCTTCGTTCAGGACCTTAGTATTTTTAACTTGGACTGTCGTCAATAGTTTCTTTATTGGTCTCCATATCTCATCCACTTCCAATTCATTCTTTGGATAGCTTCCAGAATTATCTTAATAAACACTTGGTATGTCCCCCTCTCCTAATGACTTAATGTGATGTAATAAGCCTTTCATGATTTGGCCCTTGTCTACCTTTAAAATCATACCTCAACTACAAAACCTAGCTAGCTCCCACTCCGCACTCTAGCTAAACTTAACTATTTGCACTCCCATCTACTTTTCCATCTATGTTGTCTCTCTCTGGAACTTCTACCCCTATCCTTCTCCACTTGACTATCTGATTGACATGGTAGTTCCTCAATAATGAGCCATCATAATCATCATCCTTCAGTATTCAGCTCAGTAGTTACTTCCTCTAGGAAAAGTTTCCTGACTCCAATACCAGGAGAAGACATATAAAGGATAAAATAAAAAGCAGTCCTAACCCTTTATCTCAGAAATAACCACTATTATTACTTTAGTGTGTTTCCCCCAACCTTTTTTTCCTATGTATATACATCTTAAGGAAAAAAAAAAAAAACAGTATGACTGAAACAAACAGCCTTATGTTCTGCTTTTCTTATTTAACATTGTGAGCATTTTTTGGTTATTTCAAAAAAGAGCTTTTAATTAAATAAATAACACTATAATCATTCCTTTATATTAACCATTTAGGTTTTGAAGGATCATTTATAGGCCACTGAAGTTTGTATTAATTTATTTTCCACCGAGTACATGATTGCTTAGCATCATCTTAATTTTTATATCCATACATGTTTACCAGACTATAAAGTCTGTTGGCTTAACCATTTTTAAGTCTCTCAGCTACCAAACAGCTTTCCAAATGTCTCATCATTTTATACTGCCACACCAATAATGTGAGAGCATCAGCCTTACCAATATTGAGTCCTTTCATTAAATATTGAGCTTGTTCAGTAGGTGAATAAACATTTATGGTCCACTAAAGCATTTGTATTATTTTCCACCAAGAGCACATGAATGCTTAGCATGATCTTTATTTCTTTACCTTTTACCCATGTATGTTTACCTGACTATAAAGTCTGTTGGCTTAACTATTTTTAAGTCCCTCGACTACCAGATAGCTTTCCAAATGTCTCACAATTCTATACTTCCAAAACCAATATGTGAGAGCACCAGCCTTACCAGCATTGAATACTTTCATTAAATATTGAATTTATCCAATAGGTGAAAAGAAAAATGGTATCTCTTAATTTCAATTTGCATTTTTGATTATTTGTGCAATGGAATGTTTATTCATATTGACTAGCTATTATTTTTGTCTTCTCTGACTCATCCATCTGCCCTCTGCTGCTTCTACTATTAGCATCTTCTGGTTTTTTTCTTATTGCTTTATCCCTTCTGTCTTAAATCAGGCATCACCAAGTCAACCAGACTTTCTGTAATTTTTGCTCATCACTTGCTTTTATTCAGTCTTTTTGTTAAGACATTTGTAAACCCACCAATACTTCCATCACCAGGTTTTTAGATAATTAGCTTTAGGTGTTTTCCAGAAATAATAACAGAGAGGTAACTGACCTGACAAGAGGCATTTTCACTCTCTAATTTCCAATAAGAAGAGTACAAGGGAGAAAGCAGATTCTTTCAACCCAACCCAAAAGGAATAAAAATGGAAGGCTCATCTACTACTTCCTTTAATGAAACACACGATATAGTCAAGTATAATTCCCTGAACTTGTCCTGTTCTTTTATTCTTCCATGGTATTGAATATTCCAGAATATGCCATTTCCTTGATCTCCTCCCTTTTCTCCCTCCAATTCTCTGTCTCTTCTATTTGTTAAACTTAGAGCCACCATAAATAAAACTGTTATTATAGGGTAAAATCAAATTATCATGTGGATTCTTAGTTGAGACCTCAGAATGTTAAAAAAAAAAAAAAAGTCTCTCAAAGCCCTTATCTCCCTCTTCTATTTTTCTTAAAAAAAAAAAAAAAAAATTGTGGGATTATTGTTTCCCTGCTTTGTTGTTTTCCCATTTAGGATAAAGTAAAATTATTGAGTATGATGCACAATGCCTTCTGACTCAACTCCTACCTCTCTCTCTAAACACATAACTCATTAGTCAGTTACCAAAATGTAATTTTTTTTTTTTTTTTTTTGGTGGTACTAGGGTCTGAACCCAGGGGTGCTCTAAAACCAGGTAATATCCCCAGCCCTTTTTTTCATTTTGAGGCGGGGTCTTGCTAAATTGCCATGGCTGGCCTCAAACTTGTGATCGATCCTTCTGCCTCAGCCTCCCAAATTGCTGAAGATTACAGACATGCACCACAATACCTAACTAACATGGACATTTAATTGCATCCACAACTTGTTTCTTAAACCTATTATGCAATTTCAGGTCTCTTGTGTCTTTACATACTGCTCTTCTCACTACCTAGAACATTTTCTCCTTCACATGCTTTGCCTAGCAAACTGTATTGATCCCAGCTCATGAAAAACTCTCCCAGAAGGCTTCCTCTACATCTTACTCTCATTTAGTCTGTCCTGTGATACGCTGTACATGCTTCTAACATAAGTGTTAATAATTTTTTTTTTTCTTTTCTGTTTCCCCAACTAAGCTATAACCAATTTTGGGGAAGGAACTATATCTAATTTGATTTTGTACTTGGAATATCTATTATGCCAGCATAAATAAGGTACTCAATTCAATGTTTGCTTAAGAAGTGAGTTACTCAGAAATGAACTTCATAAACTTGTTTATGAAGCCCTCCTTAACCCTTAGGTTAAGATACTCCTTACCTTACTGTCCTCTAGTGCACTTTATACATCCTTTTGTTATGTCCCTTATCAAGCTGCATTTTAACTCTACCAACTGAATTGTGAATTATTTGAGAACAGTGAACATCTTTACTATCAGGAGATTAAGTAACGAGCACAGAGCCTAGCATGTATTATTCAATTAGTTCATGTACTGAATACAACTCCATGCATCAAGGAAGCTTACCATGTTCTAAAGTCACACATTCCCCTAAGCTCCATCTAAGGGCCTCGGGCATAGGTAAGTTTTCATATCTTATGGAAACGCAGTGATGACTCAAAGCCCAAAGTAATATCCATTTGATTTTTATTCGCACCTCATTTTTCTGTGCTTTACAGAATTTCAAAAGTAAGCATCGACTACTTTTTCATCATTAAAAGTTTAATAGCAAGCTTTACAGAACACTCACTAACATGTGTGCCTGTTTTAAAAAAAAAGCAGACTAAATCACTTGACTGATTCAGCTGACTACCACTTCTCAAGGCTGCTGCATACACTTTAATAAAGCTAACTAATGTTAGATGGATGGAGGATGGACAGATGGATGGAAAGAGAGAAAAAAAGAGAAATACCCACCATTGTACTTAACACTGTTGGCCAGAATAAGGTTTACATCATCTAGAAAGCTCTCCCGACTCTGGTACTTGTGCTTGGAGATATTCTATGACATAAAAAAATCAGAAACTTAGATACAAATATAAAAAGATAGCAATTACAAAAAAAAGCATTTTAGACCAAGTCACTCACCTTACGTATAGTCTCTAAATCCATTGGATTGACAATCACTTTGTAATAATCTGGAACAAACTTCTTATTAACTGGGTGATGAAATGGCCAGGACTAGTAAAAAAGAACGCAAGCACAGGAAATTAAATGGTTTTTCATTTTTGTTTGTTTTTAATTTTTTACAGTACTGGGGATTGAACCCACAGCAATCTACCACTAAGGTACATCCTAGACTTTTTTTTTTTTTTTTTTTTAAAGAGAGAGTGAGAGAGGAGAGAGAGAGAGAGAGAGAGAAAATTTTTAATATTTATTTTTTAGTTCTCGGCAGACACAACATCTTTGTTGGTATGTGGTGCTGAGGATCGAACCCGGGGTGCACGCATGCCAGGCGAGCGCGCTACCGCTGAGCCACATCTCCAGCCCCCATCCTAGACTTTTTAAAAAATATTTTTTATATTTTATTTTTTAGTTGTGGTTGGACACATTACCTTTTATTTATTTTATGTGGTGCTGAGAATTGAACCCAGGGCCTCACATGTGCTAGGCAAGTACTCTACCACTGAGCCACAACCCCAGCCCATCCTAGACCCTTTTCAAAATTTATTTTGAGACAGAATCTCACTAAACTGAACAGGCTGGCCTCTTATTTGCAATCCCCCTGGCCTCAATTTCTCAAGTCATATTACAGAGATTTCAAGTGTGTGCCACCATGCTTAGCTGGAAATCATTTTTTTAAACTCATTTCTTTTTTAAAAATATATATTTTAATTGTCGACCATCCTTGTTTATATGTGGTGCTGAGAATCGAACCCAGTGCCTCACACATGCCAGGCAAGTACTCTACCTCTGAGCCACAACCCCAGCACTGGAAACCATTCTTTACACCAGATATTCTCATCTTTTGTTGGGTCACAAATATTCCTGATGCAATTTATAGACCTTTTCCCCAGAAAAACTCATGTTCATATAAACTTTTGTGTATTATTTAAGGAGTTCAGGGGTCCCTAAGAGTTCCTATGCCCTGATCATTAACAGTTAAAATTCCTTATTCTTAAGGTTCAATTCCTAGTACTACACACATGAAAAAATAATAAATTTTCTAAGTCTCATCCAGAAATTTTATAGCATTACACACTTAGAACATATGCCTACAATGCATAAGAAAACTTGGTTCAGAATTTCTGGGAAGGCTCATTACAACAAAGTGGTTCATAGAATCAATAAAACAGATTTGATGATAGCCCTGCCAAAAAGTTGAAAATGGCAAACCCCATCCCCCACACCCAAAAGACAACAAACACGGTTATTATCACAGTGTTTATATAAAATCACCTCTAAATCAACAGCCATCTATTAGCTGGCATCCTTTCTCTATAGCACTATTCAGGAGCACACAAATACTGAATATAAAACAAGAGGATCTCTTTTTTGTTTTGGTGGGGGGGTTAATAGGGCTTGAACTCAGGGGCACTAAATAACTGAGTCATACCTACAGCCCTTTTTAGTTTTTATTTTGAGACAGCGTCTTGCTTAGTTGTTTAGGCCCTTACTAAGTTGCTGAGGCTGGCCTCAAACTTTTGATCCTCCTGCCTCAGCCTCCCAAACTGCTGGGATTATAGGTATATGCCACTGCTCCCGGCTTTGGCATCTTTGATTTTAATGATGGAGTACTCACAGAGTAGAAATGTTGACATTTAAAATTATGTACGAGTTTCTATAACCTGACATACACAATTGTTAAGAATATAATATACACATACATATGCTATACTTTCTTTCCTTTCCCCTCACAATATTTAGCAGAAACCACTTACGTCTGGAACTGCCATCATTTTTTGGGTGACAATGTTGTCTAGAATGAAGGAAAATGCCACTTGATCATCATCATCAAGCAAGGGATTGATAGCTTTCTCTAAACGAGCCAATTTATCTTCTTTCTGAAATAAAACAAAACCAAGCCAAGATAAAAGTTTCCCAGATATAAATATAAAGATGAGGAGTATCTTTCTAAAAGTTTCCCAGATGTTTTCCTGTGGTGCAATCCCCATATAAAAATTAAGGATTGGGCTGGGGATGTGGCTCAAGCGGTAGCGTGCTCGCCTGGCATGTGTGTGGCCTGGGTTCGATCCTCAGCACCACATACAAATAAAGATGTTGTGTCCACTGAAAACTTAAAAATAAATAATAAAATTCTCTCTCTCTCTCTCTCTGTTTAAAAAAAAAAAATAAGGATAATTTAAGGTTCAGCAAGCTTTTTTATGACCCTTGCCCCAAACAAGTTGAACTCTGAAATATCATTTGGTTCTAGGTGAAAAGTATAGAGAGATACTCCAGAATATAAGGGTCAAAAAGGATGTTTCAACAACTTCCTTAGATATTCTACATTCTAGAACACTAAAAGTATACATCCCTGCACATCAACAGCTTGGCTCCCACAACAAAAACACCTTTAGTAAATAAGGCTTTATTCATCATACTGGGTTTTTTTTTTTAAATGTAGAACAATATATTACTAAACACACTGAACATTGATTAGTCACTATTGATTAATAATTTTATTATTAATCAAAGAGAACTTAACCCAATAAATTCATTTCAGACTCTGTATATTAAAAAACTCTGTGTTCCCACTGTTCCACATCCACCTCAACATAGTTTTGTTTTTTAATTTTAGCCTTTCTAATGGGTACTAGTAGTACTTAATTGTGGCTTAAATATACATCTCCCCAATGATCAATCAAGTTAAAAATTTTCTCATGTTTATTGACCATTTAATTATCCATCCTTTGGTGAACTGTCTATTTCAATAGTAACATGATCATCACACTTGTGCTTCTGTGAGCTTGTAAAGTGCCACAATTTTATTTGGTAAGACGGTATATAGATAAATTATATTTGAAAAATTAAAATTCTTCCCTGCCAAAACATTAATCAGTCTCTTAGTGACAGGGAACTCCCAAGGAAGTCAATTTCCTTCCCTCTTTCTAAGGAGTTAAATAATGTTCTAGATCTTAATCTTAACTTTACTATTTAATAGTCATGATGCCCAAAACAAGTCATTTTTTTCCATATGGATTGAGCTTTCCCATCTACAAAAAGGACTAGCCTATAAAATTTCTAAGGCTCCCATGTACTAAGCCTCTGCCACTCTTTCTCCTATTAAATTTGTATACCTTTCTCCTGACAAATCCCCTACTTCCTAAATTCCATAGCTCCCCACCTTTATGTCCCATTGCCTGTTTTACCTCTTTGAGTTTTTCATCACAGAGATCCAGCATGGATTGAGAAATCTGGGTCAATGAGTGCTTTGGACCTACAGAGAGAATAGTAAGAGATGTAACCATTAAATGCCAGAGGCAAGAGTTTCCTATGCCTTTTAACATATTTAGTTAAGAACCCTAACCCTAACCCTAACCCTAACCCTAGGGCTTGCTTCAGCAGCACATATACTAAAAATTCAAACAATGCAGAGATGCTTAGCATGGTCCCTGTGCAAAGATGACACATAAATCCATGAAGCATTTCATATTAAAGACAATAATGACTGGGTGCAGTGGTGCTTGCCTATAATCCTAGTGGCTCATGAGGCTGAAGCTGAGGCAGAAGAGTCGCAAGTTCAAATACACTCTCAGCAAATCAGTGAGACTTTCAGCAACTGAGACCCTGTCTCTAAATAAAATACAAAAAGGGTTGGGGATGTGGCTTCGTGATTGAGTGGCCCTGGATTCAATCCCATTACATAAATAAATAAAAATAATTAAAAATAATATTCTAGTGAGTCAGGTGATTGAGGCAGGTGGATCTTTTTTATTTTTTCCTTAAGATTTTGATTTTTTTTTAGTTGCAGATGAACATAATACCTTTATTTTGTTTATTTTTATGTGGTGCCGAGGATCCAACCAAGTGCCCCACAAATGCTACGCAAGTGCTTTACCACTAAGCCCAAGGCAGGTAGATCTCAGGTTCAAGGTCAGTCTCAGCAACTTAGTGAGACCCCATTGCAAAATAGAAAAGACTGGAGATGTAGCTCAGTGGTAAAGTATCCAAGCTCAATCCCCAGTTCCAAAACAATAAATTAATTAGTTAAAAAGGGCTGGGGGTATGGCTCAGTGGTAGAGCACTTGCCTACCATGTATAAGGCCCGGAGTTCAATTCCCAGCACTGAAAAAAAAAGAAAACAAAGAAGACAATTGGGAAAATAATGAGCTATAGATGTAGATCAGTGGTAAAGTATTCCTGGGCTCAATCCCCAGTAATCCCCCCCCACACACACACACAAAGGCAGAGAAGAGTATATGAATCATGGTAATTAAGAGTACAGGGGCTGGGGATGTGGCTCAAGCGGTAGCGCGCTCGCCTGGCATGCATACGGCCTGGGTTCGATCCTCAGCACCACATACCAACAAAGATGTTGTGTTCGCCGACAACTAAAAAATAAATATTAAAAAATTCTCTCTCTCTCTCTTTAAAAAAAAAAAAAGAGTACAGGCTGTGGAATTAGATATACCTAGGTTAACATTGCTACACTGAAAAATAAAATATCTGTACTTTGCCACATTGTAGCTGCATGATCACCTTGGTCAAGTCATTTAAATGCTACTGGCCTGTACGTTTATCTGAAAAATAATTAGTAAAACAGTACCCATTTCAAAGTTTCCTTACAACAAAGTAAAGAAAAAATTCAAGTAAAGCACTTGGTGGTATTTCTACTATTATCAGCATTCAGTATGAGAAAGAAAATAGAGTGAACTAGAGGGGGATATAAGGCTGGGAGATTTTGTGTGTGTGCACACAGTATCAGGGACTGAATCCGGGAATGTTCTACTACTGAGCTACATCCTAAAGCCCTTTAAATTTTTTATTTGGAGACAGGATCTCACTAATTTGCTGAGGCCAACCCCAAACTTGTGATCCTGCATCAACCTCCCCAATTGCTGGAATTAGAAGCATACATTACTGCAGCCAGCTGAGAAATTACCAATTTTTTTTCTTGTGGTGCTGGGGTCTTGTGCATGTGAGGCAAGCACTCTACCAACTGAGCTATATCCCTAGCCCAAGAAATTACCAACTTTTTTAAACAAACATCTTCACTTCAGTGACACGTAGGCACCTCAAGTTCTGTATCCTCAGTCAACTTTTACCTTTCCATTCCTCTTAAAAACTGATTTTGTGGGGCTGGGGTTGTGGCTCAGTGGCAGAGCACTCACCTAGGATGTGCAAGGCTCTGGGTTCGGTCCTTAACACCACATAAAAATACATAGATAAAAATAAAGGTATTGTGTCCAACTACAACTAAAAAAAAAAAAAAAAGATTTTGCTTTTAAGTAATTATCCTTGCAATCTGAATGACAATTGGACCTAACAAATTTATTCTTCCCTTGTATATGCCTGCATGGCCCAGAGAATATAAATAAGAAACATACTTTCTGCAGGAAGTCACAAAGTGCTGATATATATAGATAATTATGATATAATATACTAAGGCTAGGAAAGTTGATTTAATTGTGCTGGGGCACAGAAAACAGAAAAAATGAGTCTTTTGAGTAATCTGGTAAGTTATTTTAAATATAAATGGAAATTCACCACTCAAGGGAAGAAAAGGCACGTCAAAGAGAAGTCCATAAAGGTATGAAGAAACAGCATGGAATTTTTTTAAAGTATTTTTTTTAATTATACATGGACACAATATCTTTGTTTAGTTTTATGTGGTGCTGAGGATCGAACCCAGTGCCTCACATGTGTGAGACAAGCATTCTGCCCTGAGCCACAACCCCAGCCCAAGGAATTTTTAATGAAATATAATGGTTAAGTGTTATAGGAGTCTACATAGTAAATATAGAAGCTGATCATTAGCCATGAGAGTAGATAAATAGGTTGGGCTGGCTTGTAAAAGGTTTTAAAATCTAGATTCTACTATTGTTCCATGCATACAGATGAGAAAGGCTATGAGAGGTTAAATAACATCTACAGTAATTCAATTAGTAAGCAGCAGGGTCATTATTTATATTCTATCTATACTCTGAATCTCTACCCTACACATCAGTGCTCAAGCAGTCAACTGAAAACCAGAAAATATTAATCCTTTATATGCAGAAGCTGTATCGTTCATGTCTTTTGAGTCTTAGAAACAAATTTCTTCTTCCTTGCCTTTTCAACTTCTTCGTAAAGTGGACACATAATAGTCCCTATAACATATTTGTAGGCCAAGGCAAAGATTCACACACAGCAAATATGGTCACAAATGTATACTTCACACAAATTCCATCCCCACTAAATGCAGCACTCTACTACTTACCTAGGACTATTTCATCTTCCCACCACTCCCCATACAACTGTTTCATTTCAACATAGACTCCAAATTCTCAAGAGAATATATTAGATTAAATAATGGGAAAGGGAAGAGAGGGGGGATAGGAATAGGAAAGACAGTAAAATAAATTTGACATAACATTCCTGTTCATGTGAATACAACATCAGGGAAAATCTACGTTGTGTACAACCACAAGAATGGGATCCTAATTAGAATAAATTATACTTCATTTATGTATAATGTGTCAAAATACACTCTACTGTTATGTATATCTAAAAAGAATTTAAAAATGGACAATAAAAATATTAAACAGTGGAAATAAAAAGTGATATTTTTTATTAAGTGACAGAAACTATGCATTGCCTGATTTTCATACCCACAAATGCACTAATACATTGTAGTTCTTTCAATTGTTCCAGTCAAATCTGAATTTAGGGACAATAAGGGATAACAATGATCTTAATGGTGACCTTGGCAGTCAAGAAACATGTGATTCTTACCATTGTAGGTTGCACTATTTTTTACGATTAGCTCCAAATGTTCTCTAAACTCTTCCCGAGATGGATAGAGGCGTTTGCGCACATTTTCACGGAGTGTTTGTAGGTCCATTGGTCGAGTGATGATTTTGTAGTAGTCCTTTACAACCTTTGCATTAACTGGCGTGTGGAAAGGGTATGTCTGTGAAAACAACAGCCAACATCATTCTTGAGCAAAAAACACTTGCCAGAACCAATACCTGAAGACTCTCACATCTTATCTATCTTCCTGGCCATCAATTCTTAAAGGAATCTTTCTAAATAAAGTAGGTCTATTTAATGTACTATTAAAAAATATATAAAAACAACACCATAAAAAATTAGGAGTTCCAGGAACCTAAGTCTATATGCTACTGCCCTCTATCTGAAATCAGAGATAAAACAAAGGGCCTTGTCATTCCTACTTTAGATATCCAATGTAATGAACTCACATTTGGAAGATCTCTCATGTCATTGATGATAGACTCCAAGATGGATGACAGTGTCACCATAGGGTCTGTCCGGCGCCTGTGGATGGATTTATGAGGTCTCTAAGGAGAAACAATAAGTCAGAATGCTTTATCAAAAACAAACAAACAAAAAAATACAAAACCACATTTCCTCAGTAGATATAGTTTAGAAATCTTGTAATGAACAGCATGATAAATCCTCAGGGAAAGACCAGAGGGAGAACCTAAATCTAAAGCTGTCAAAGACAGGTCACAGACTAGGAAATCAATGAGAACCCATCTGATAAAAGCAGGCAAAGCAGATACTCACATTCAAATAGTCACAGTGAACAGTGGTTCCAACACGTCGTTTCTTCTTGGGAGGAAGTTGCTGTTTAGGGAACTTGAGAACCAGAGATTTTCTGCGAACCTCATCTGCACTGCAATCAATAAAACTTTTATAGCATGCAGACCCTATTTCTAGTTCCCAGAAAAAAAAAAAGCAACTACAACAAAAAAGTCCAAAGTACCTGAGCATGAGCCTGGGAAAGAAAAAGCCAAACTAAAGGCCGGACATCCACCTTCTAAGGCTCAGATCAAAGCAAGGCCTCACAGTATCTCCAAATTAGTAAAGAAGTAAACAAGTCACAATCTTACCCCAGCTTCCTATTTGGAATATGCGGGAACTAGGCTAAGGGAATTTTAAGAATCCTCTAATTCTAATGTTCTGTTCTAGAATTAAGGGCTAGAAAAGTTGACTCATTCAGAACAGAAAAGACAAAGAAATTTTAAAAAGAACTTAAAAATTAAGAAAAAACTAGTTTGGGTTTCCCTCAATCATTAAAATCCATCCACCTTCTTCCCTTTTATTGTAAGGAATCGAAATATCACATTTTCCTTTTCTAATATGCTTTAAAAAATAATGACCTACTATAGATACTGACAAATAAATAAAGATGGAAGAAAAAAAACCTAAAACTGAATACAGATAAATATATCAAACTGATTTTAAAATTCATACACAAAAATAAATTTAAAAATATTTTAAAGTTAATACCCTTGATTGCACTACTTCAGCAGATACAGTTCAAGGACTAACTCCAAAACACATCTTGAATCTATTTTATAGCTTTGTTGTAAGTAATGGCATTGATATAGTAATTCTGAAACTATTTTGTACTTATAAGAGCAAATGAATAAATATATTAATACTGGTTATCAGAAAAAAAATACAAATAAGAAACAGAGGAGGGGATTGGAGCTGTAGCTCAGTGGTAGAGTACTTGCCAGCATGAGTGAGGTACTGGGTTCAATCCTCAACACCACATAAAATAAATGATATTGTGTCATTTTAAGACTAAAAAAATGTGATTACAAAAACAGAAAAGGATGAGGAAGACTCAATCTATAGGTACAATTTGAATTGAAAGTATCAGTATGAAGTTGTGATTTAAAATACATGTACATTTCCCAGTTCTGCTCACTAAAAATGCCTAGAAGCATTCTCAGAGATAATAAGCACATCTAACATCCAGATCTTGTTTTCTAAATGCCATTTCCCAATGACAGAACCTGTGCTCCTTGGAGTAATGGTCATTTCTAGGTGTGGGATAAGGAAAATTCAAGGACAGCCTGTAACACACCTTATGCCAAAAAGCAAAAGAAGTTCTCAAAAAAAATTACAGAGTCATTTCAAAGAGATGACAGTATCTGGCTTAAAGGAGTGAAAGTTAGGCTATTATCTAAGCATTGAAATTAATGATGTTGATTAAAATACATTGAATTTATAAATTAAAAAATTCAGAATCCATAGTAATAATTTTAAAAGGAGAGGAGAAAACTTTTTTTTTTTTTTATAACCAGGGATTGAAATCAGGGGCGCTCAACTACTGAGCCACATTCCCAGCCCTATTCTGTGATTAGAAACAAGGTCTTACTGAGTTACTTAGCACCTTGCTATTGCTGAGGCTGGCTTTGAACTAGTGATCCTCCTGCCTCAGCCTCTAGAGCTGCTGGAATTACTGGAGTGCACCACCATACTCAGCTAAACATTTTTTTTTTTTTTTTAGTACCAGGGATTGAACCCATGGGCGCTTAACCACTGTGGCATGTCACCACCTAGTTTTTTATTTTTTATTATGAGACAGGGTCTCACTAAATTGATGAGGCTGACTTTGAACTTGCCATCATCCAGCTTCAGCCTCCCAAGCCACTGGGATTACAGGCATGCTCCACTGCACCCAGCAAGAAAGAACTATAGAAAAATTCCATCTATGTAGAGGGATGTCAAAATTAGAAAAATCACCCATTTGCAACCTCCAATGAAATAACTGAGCCAGGCTGTGATAATCAATGGGTGCTAAAACCAGTAAGATTTGAGAATAGATTCCACATGTTAATTCCAAAGGGAAAAATTTATTTACCTTTGTTACTATATCTGGGAATCACTACGTTAACAAGATGACGAAACTAGTGGGAAAATCTAACATTACATGTTTTCTGATACAGTGAAGTGTATAGTATCACTTATGTATGAATTAAATGGCAGGCCAAAAAATATTTAATCTGAATCTAACCAATGAGAGAACAATCACACAAAACCAGAAATGAAATATTTTATAGGATAATTGTTCTAGACTCTTCTAAAACTTCAATATCACACACACACACACAAATAAATAAATAAAATAAAAGGTAGGAAAGACAGTTCTAGATTAAAAAGAGACCCAAAATTTATCCAATGTTTGAAGTGGGATTGGATCCAGAATGAGGGGAGGTCAATAAAGAACATTGAGACAACTAGGAAAATTTGAATATGGTCCAAATAGTACATATTACTGAATTAATATTAACTTCATGAAGTATGAGAATATTACCATGTCATTATATCCGTATTCTTAGATGTGTGCTGAAGAATTTAGGAATAAAAGTAATGATTCCTGTGACTTACTACCAAAAGGTTAAGAAAAAAACATTTTAGGTATACAAGAATAAAACAAATGAAGCAAAATGTGAACAACTGGTGAGTTATGATGAACAGTAATATTAAATTTTTTCAACTTGTTTTTTTATAACTCGAGACTGAACCCATGGTTACTTTACCACTAAGCCATATCCCCTAGCCCTTTTTACTTTTTAGACAGATCTCACTGATTTGCTAAGGCAGGCCTTGAACTTGCCATCCTCCTGTTTCAGTCTTCTAAGTAAGATGGAATTATAAGCATGTGCTACATACAGCTAAATCTTTGAACTTTTCTATATGTTTTGAAGTTTCAAACTAAAAAGTTGGAGAAGACAATTTCACAACGACATTTTATTATTTATTAGACTCTCTGAGGGCCAAAGACAAACATTAGCATAGTTTATATGTCTTCCCAACCTTTTTAGATCATATATTATCAAAATACCATTCAGATTAGGAATCTTGCAAACATAATGAGTCCCTGAAAATATAACAGGGTTCTCTTGCATCTATTACAATACTCCAGGTACAATACTATATGCTTTATAGTCACTCTCATTTTTATTTTTATTTTCCTGGTTCTTGGGATTGAACCCACAGAGGCTCTATCTATCACTGAGCTATATATCCCCAGCCCTTTCAAATATTTTTTTTAAATTTTTAGACAGGGTCTCATTAAGTTGTCTTAGCCTCCCAAAGTTGCTGGGATTATAGGCTGGCACCACCATGCCTGGCTCATCTTCTTAACTACCCCAGAAAGGGTGATTTTATTTTGCAAAATGAATCTAAGATTCAGAAAAGTTAGGAAGTAGTTGAGCATGCAGTGATACATGCCTGTGAACCTATCAACTAGGGAGGCTGTAACAGGTGGATAGCAAGTTTGAGGCCAGCTTCAGCAACTCAGGGAGACCCTCAGCAACTTTGTGAAATACTATCTCAAAAAAAAAAAAAAAAAAAAAAAGACTGATGATTTAGCTCAGTAGCAAAACACTCCTGGGTTCAATCACCAGTACCAAAGAAAAAAGGAAGAAAGAAAGAAAATGCACAAGGGCAAGAAGTGAAGCATAATATAATGTAATAATTTTCACTACTGGCAACAATTTCTGAGAAAAATCCATCAAAGTTCCTATACCCTTAATACCACTTTAGAGAACACCAATGCATCCACCCCCACCACCAATTTTCAGATCTTTCCTGTAGCACTCCCTGCTAGATATCACTTACCTTTCAATTAATTGTTTCCCCAAGACAATCTTGGTTCCTTCCACCTTGATAAGTTCTTCATTATCATTATGAATGACTGTCTTTTCCAATTCCTCTTCCTGTTCCTCTGTCATGGCAACAGGGTTAGAAGGTGGAGCATTTGTTTGATAATAAAGGGGACAGAATTTATTTGTCCTCATGTGCCCAATGGCACCACATGCTCCACATTTCAGCTGCAAAAAAAATAGGTCAACATGTTAGAGATAAGTACAGTACATCAGAAGTAAGCAGGTAAGAAATAATAATAATGCAGGGAAGCAACAAAAACAGCTTGAGAACTTTTGCTTGAATAGAACTGTTATGCACCTATCAATAGAAGCCACTGGACAAAAGTGCATGACACATGAAAGATAAAATGAAATCCAGAAGCCAAACATTTCTTTAAAAAAAAAAAAATGAGGGCAGATGTCAATGTTTATAGCAGCTCAATTCATGAAATCTAAGCTATGGAAACTACCTAGGTGCTCTTCCACAGATAAATGAGGAATAAATAAAGAAAATGTGGTCTATATACATGATGGAATATTACTCAGCCATAAAATAGAATGACTTTTTGACTTTTGCCGGTAAATGGATGGATCTATTTTTTTTTTTTAAAGAGAGAGTGAGAGAGAGAGTTTTAACATTTATTTATTTTTTCTTAGTTCTCGGCGGACACAACATCTTTGTTTGTATGTGGTGCTGAGGATTGAACCCGGGCCGCACGCATGCCAGGCGAGCGCGCTACCGCTTGAGCCACATCCCCAGCCCCAAATGGATGGATCTAGAGACTATCATGCTAAGTGAAATAAGCCAATCCTAAAAAAAAAAAAAAAAAAATCAAATGCCACATATTCTGATATGCAGATGCTAATACACAATAAAGGGAGGAGGGAAGAAGTTCAGTGGATTAGACAAAAGGGAATGAAGGGAGGGAGAAGGGAAGGGAACAGGAAAGAATATAATTAATTGGACATAATTTTCCTTTGTTCATATATGAATACACCATCAGTGAAAATCCACATCATGTACAACTGCAAGATTGGGTTCCTAATTAGAATAAGTTATACATTATATATGTATAATATGTCAAAATATACTCCACTGTCATGTATATCTACTAAAAAGAACAAATAATAAAAATGTAAAAATTAAATCAAGGCAGGAGCCAGGTGCTATGACACAACACTATAATCCCAGAGTTGTTGGGAGGCTGCAACAGAAGTAGCACGGGTTCAAAGCCCAGCTTCATCAATTTAGTGAGGCCTTCAGCAACTTACTGAGATGCTAGCTCAAAATAAAAAAATAAAAAGGGCTGGTCACGTAGTCCAGTGGGTCAATTTCTGGTACCCTCCCCCAATAAAAAACTTTGACAATATTCAGTGTGTGAGGGAAAGACTATGGAAGCTCAAGCACAGTGCACTAGCTGGGTAGACACCTTGGCCCAGGTCAAAACAAGAAAAGTCCCAACAGTATCAAGAATCCATCTCAGTTTTGCAATTGAGGGTGGCTCTAGGACCCTAGACATCATTTTCATCTGTAAAATGGGACCAGCACTATATCACACTTATCTAATATCATATGTAAGAAAGGAATATTAAATATTTAATGACTTCAGTAGTTAATAATAGAACTTTACAGTTGTTGAATATTTTAGTTTACAAAGTGTATCCCATAATTTACATCATTTAAAACAACACTGTGAGGAGCTAGGGTTGTGGCTCAGTGGTAGTGCACTCGTCTGACATCTGTGAGGCACTGGGTTCAATCCTCAGTACCACATAAAAAAAATAAAATAAAGGTATTGTGTTCATCTACAACTAAAAAAAATAATTAAAAAACAAAAACACTGTGAGACGGTTTCCATTTTTATAAAAGAGAAAATTGGTTTGGAGAGGTTAAGGTCACAGAGCTAGCAGAACCAGAACGTGAATCCAGATCTTCTGTTTCCAAGTATATAGTTCTACCCACTGCACCATAGTTACCTCATCTTATGGGGCACATTACAGTCACACTGCTCAATAATACCTGGCATCCTACCTAGGATATACAAAACAACATGTATGATGTTTTATGTTTGTTGCTTTTTAAAATATGCACAATTTTTTTTGGTGGGGGTGTTACTAGAGATTTAATCCAGAGGTACTTCACCACTGAGCTACAGGCCCAGCCCTTTTTTTTGAGACAGGGTCTCACTAGGTTGCTGAGGGCCTTGCTAAGTTGCTGACGCTGGCCTTGAATTTGTAATCCTCCTGTCTCAGCCTCCCAAGTTGCTGGGATTATAGGAGAATGTCACCATGCCCAGCTCAATATACAAAATTTTTAAAAAAGAATAGGGCTAGGGATATAGCTCAGTGTTAGAATGCATGCACAAGGCCCTAGGTGCAAAGGAAAAAAAAAATGTGTGCATTCTTGGTATATATACACACATTTACATATGTGTGCATTCATGTTCATGTAAAAAATTCACCAAATCTATCTCAACTCTTAGAAATATTTCAAATGAGTATAAATGATCCCCAAATACAGCAATAGCATCAGATTTGGTCTAGTGTCACACTCTTTCTGATAATACCCAAAGAGCCAATTCAATTCAAACTAGTTTTCCACAATATTATTCTCATTCCTAGTAAGGGAGGATGACAAAATTAAAGGAAAAAGGGATGTTGCTCTCTTCCTTTGCTTCATTAATATTGCTCATTCCACATTATACTTACTTTTAGGTCAGGACGCTCCTTCATTTTTTTTGGCTTCTTCTCAGGAGGCCCCTTAAGCTTCTCCTTTTCCTGGTTCCGCTTAAGCCTTCTCAATTGCTCTTGAATCCTCCGTCTTTCTTTTCGCATCTCTTCTCGATGCTGTTCATCAAAAAGGGCAAATTTTCGACTAAATGATGGGGGTGGGGAGAAATTACAGAACCGTAAGCAAACCCAAACCAAGAACATTGTCCTGATAGCTAATATCCCAGAATAAAAATAATCCATCTGGACTGAAATAAAAGGAGATACTTGCCATTCCCTTTTCCCTTGCTAGCCAGTCCTCCATCTGCAGACTGGCACCTAACTAAGATTTTTGTAAACCAAACAATCAAAATGCAAAGAACCTTGGTGGAACATGACATGCCTTTATTTTGTAGCAGAAATAGAATTTTCTCAGTGATTGGGCACTGTTCAAACTCAAAAGTCTAAAGGAAACACGGTTCTCAATTCAGCTGGCTTTCAGGGACAACTATGCCAAAACCTGTCACTAAAATTCAAGTATCTACCTTATCTTCACCATTATTCTCCCTATCACACTCAAAAGTGGAAAATCAAACTCACATGAATTCCTCATCTTTTGTGGTCCTTATGCGTACATAGGCATCAATGACAGCTGGTTTTCGGACTGTCTCACAGCGAACATACTCTTTCCCCTCTTCATCTCGAAATGTACGATAAATCTTGAGACAGCGGCCAGTGGCAGAAGAGTTAAGGCTAGTCACAGAAGCAGTGTCATCATCTCTGTGATTGTTTCCTGATGCTGCTGAGCCTGCTGCTGTAAGGTAGAAAAAGATTTCCAAACATTCCCCCTACCACCCAAATGGCCATTTTCTTGGGGCTGGAGACATGGTACCTCAACATGCCATAAAACTATGCTTCTATAGAAAGCAACGATATCACCACCAGCTCCAAGAATACACTGATTTATCCTTTCCTGGCTTTATTTTACCACTGCCAATTTCAGTTTTTACATGTATAAAAAGTTCTAAAAAGAGACGGAGAAGTAACTACATTCTAAGTCATCTGAATAGCAGGACAATAGAAAAGTCCAAGCAGGCAGTAGTTGATGAAAATACCCAAGGAAGCACTCAGGAGGAAAATGACACCAAAGAAATAAGCCCAGAGTCTTAAGGCCTAGTGTATACTTCTCAAATTTTAATAAAGGCCTGAGACTCCACCAACTTTCTAACAAATTTCCATTTGATATAGATACTGTGGTTCAGGACCACATTAGCAAAGACTTAGAGGACCACATTGGTGGAAGGGCTATAGCACATCTTTACAAAGCCAGAACAATGAAGTTACACAAAATTTTTACAGGGTGGGGGAAACAAAGGGAAGACTAGTGTGAATGAAAATAATCATTCAAATCTTCATTTTTAGCTTTTTTCATTTAAATACTACATCCAAGTTTTTGTTTTGTTTTTGGTACTGGGGATTGTACCCAAGGCTTCATGTATGCTGGGCAAGTACCCAAGTTTTCAACTACTTGCTTGATGTGTATATTTGGAAGTGGTATGGGAACCTCAAATTCCACACATTACACATTCTCTTCCAAAATGCCTGCTTTTTTTTCTCTGAAATTAATGGTACAAACATCTTTCTAGAAAGTCAGAATGAAATCTTTAAGGTGGCCTTAATTTTTCCCCCTCTTAATGCCCATATCCCAAACCCAGTTCTGGTCATTATCACTGACCTCACCCTCTGCAATTGGTTGGTTATTTTTAACTCTTTTTAGCATCTGAGATTCCTCTGAGAATCCTCTGAAAGTCATGAAGCTTCTCAGAAAATGCACATTTGCAAAGAATTTTACATATAATTTCAGAGGGTTCAAGGACAGTCCCCAAATCCAGCCATAGGTTTTATATTAGTAACTCTTTCCTTCTAGGATAAATGCCCAGAAATCTCACTTCAAATACACTGACAGCCCTGGCTTAGCCAGGTACTCGATACAGACAGAGGCAGTAGTGGATTGGCTGCATCTCTTCAATTTGTCCCCCAACGACAAACCTAGAATCCAGTTTGCAGAAATCTTTCTACCTCATCTACAGCCTTTTTTACACTCATCCCTACTTCTTATGCCTCTAGCTTTGCCTCAGTTATAGTCTACAGTTATTTATACTCCTTTTTTGATCCTTGTCTTTCTTGTCTGTCTGTGAAGCCACTACCCTCACCCAGTAGCATCCGCTGTAGTTCCTTCCGCTCCTGCTCCTCCCGCTCACGTGACAGTTGAGAGCTGGTTTTCTTGTTCTGTAACATGTTCTCAATATTCTTTCCCATTTCTTCAAAGTCACTGTCTTCAGCTGAGCTACTGTCCGTGTCAGTTGATAAGACTTCAGTTGATGACAAAACTCTAAAAAGAAAAAAAAAAAAAAACAAATATTAATTTAAAACCTGGGAAATACTAAAGTATAGAAAGACCTAAAGAGACGGGGCTGTGGGCAAGAATAGAAAATTGGGGATTCAATTGTCAAAAAACATATTCAAAAGTCACTAAACCATGAACCCCTTAATACAACTTTTCAATTTTCGTACACTTAGAAAACAAGGAGAAAGAAAGCAAGACTAAGCTGAGAAATAAAGAAAGACTTGGATATTTTATTTTTTCAATGCTGAAGCCAGGAGCATTCTTATCCCTGAACTACGTTCCTAGCACCTCTGCTTATTCTTAAATTTTGAGAGAGGGAGGTGCAGTGGTGCATGCCTATAATCCCAGTGCCTCAGAAGGCTGAGGCAGGAGTACCACAAGTTCAAAGCCAGCCTCAGCAACTTAGAAAAGACCCTAGCTAACTTAGCGAGACCCTGTTTCAAAATAAAAATGGCTGGGGATGTGGATTGCCTGCCAAAAAAAAAAAAAAATTAATTTTAAGATAGGGTCTCACTAAGTTGCTCAGAGTGGCCTCAGACTTGCATCCTCCTGTCTCAGCCTCCCAAGTGCTGGGATTACAAATATGCTCCACCATACCCAGTACTTGGGTCACTTTTAATAGCACACTACCAATTCTCTCACAATTGAGCCTTCAGAGAAAACCCTGTGACACTATATGATTACCACAGCCAAGTAGGCCTTCAGAGCTGCCATGGAACCTACAGCTCAAATCTAGCACCTCCTCACATTCAAAACCTTTGACAAGTTGAGGAGAGCAAGTACTTGAGCAATTTTCATTATAAAAGAACATCTGGGGTTGGGGTTGTGGCTCAGAGGTAGAGCACTCGCCTACCATGTGTGAGGCACTGGGTTTGATCCTCAGCACCACATAAAAATAAAGATATTGTGTCCACCTATAACTAAAAAATAAATATTTCAAAAAGAAGAATATCTGGGGCCTGGGGATGTAATTCAGTAGTAAAACACTTGCCTACATGGGAAAGGCCCTTGGTTTAATCCCTTGCACCTTAAAACAAAACAAAACCCTTCCCCTCCTTCCAGCTGGAGTTTTCTGCAGCACTGAAACATACTTATTTTGTAGGTCAAAGATGCGCTGACATTCCTCTTTGTAACGTTCTTGATGCTCAGCCACAGAAAACCTTGATCCACGCGCAAATTTACTCATGGGCCCCTCTCCAGAGCGGGCCTGTTCTGTTGACATTGTACGTACCACGTCGATCACTTCCCAGCGGGATAACTTCTTAATCTACAAGACAAATGCACAAACACACACAATTTACAGTTTTCAAAAGAAAAAACCAAAGCACATGATTACAGAGACAGACCCAAAACAAAATCATCCCAAAGCAGATTAAACATAAAGCTTTTGAAAGCTAACTCCTATACTACAAAGTTCCTCAGATAGTTCTTTGTATCTGTCTCCTAAACTTTCTCTATATAAAAAGTCTCTAAGTTTCCCTCTTCTACACTCACCTCTTCTTCAGGCACACCAAATTTACGTAGAAGTTGCTTTGCATTTTTCAGAGAAAGGCGACGAAGGTCTGCATCTGTTCCCGTCACTGTCTTCTTCACTGGCTGAGGCTCCTTATCATCCTACCTCAAAAACAAGTGAGAATCCTAAGATGAACTCTTTATAGTAGGTATGTAAGTCATTCTGCCAACTGAACCACTCTTCAAGCCCTCTACTCCATAATCCTCATTTCTTCCTCCTCTGATTTTCTCCTTCTATAAATCCGGACAATCTCACCTTCTGCTGTGTTGGTTTGTTTGGAATCTTCACATAAGAGAATCCTTCACCACAACCTGTGGGATCAGCCACCCCTGTCACCTCTAGGAGACATTTGCCCTTCATGGCAGCAATGAATGCTCTTGTGGTATTCCAAGGAGCAGTGCGAACCTAAGGGACAGAAAAAGAATCTCAGAGCTGTGGGAAACATTTATTGTATGTGTAGCCCTTATCAAGAAAGAGAATAATTATAATGAGCAATTTCATGCTTTCCTAAATTGTCTATGAAGATCAACAGTCAAATATCGCTGCCTAGTACTCAGCTCTCTTCTTTCTTACGGTACTTAAATCATGATATTAAATAGAGGTCAAAAATCTCAACCATGGTAAAGAATACAAGAAACAGGCTTCACTGCGCACCTTGTGATAACATTTCACTGTCCAATTGCTCAAATGGCTTTTTTTAAGGATGTCCTAAATTGTAATACTAAATCACATTATTATGTACAACTATAATGCACCAATAAAAAATGTGAAAAAAATGACCTATATTATGCTGGGCATGGTGGTGCATGCCTATAATCACAGTTCCTCAGGCAACTGAGGCAGGAGGACAGCAAGTTCAAGGCCAGCCTCTGCAATTTTTGAGATGCTATCTCAAAATAAAAAGGGCAAGGGATGTAGGTCAGCAGAAAAGCACCACTGGCCTCAATCCCTAGTACTGCCAAAAAAAAAAAAAAAAAAAAGAATGACCTATATTATAAAAACAAGTTAAACATTGGCTTTAAAAGCAGTGGCTACAACCATAGCATCACTAAACTAAAGTATGTTCTATCCCTGCTACCGGTTTGATCGAAAGCATCTACTAGCCCAGCACAGTGGTGCATGCCTATAATCCCAGTGACTTGGGAGGCTAAGGCAGGAGGATCACTAGTCCAAAGCCAGTCTCAGCAATGGCGAGGTGCTAAGCAACGCAGTGAGACTCTGTCTCTAAATAAAATATGAAATAGGGCTAGGGATGTGGCTCAGTAGTTGAGTGCCCGTGAGTTCAATCCCTGTAACCAAAAAAAAAAGCTTCTACTAATCCCATAAAATACAGAAGACAAGCGGTAAATGTGGTTACCTACAAAGACCAGACGAGTATATACAATTAGTTAGAAAATGGCCAATTCTCTATTTAAGATTCAATCTTAAAGGCTAACAATAATCTTTAACTTCTGAAATTCTTAAGACATTCTCATTTTTCATTCCAATCTTAAAGATGTATTATAGTGCTTTTGTTTCTTAACTAATACATAAAAACCGTACTCATATATGGGGTACCATGTGACATTTAGATATATGTATATATTATGCAATATTTAAATATCATTAAGCATGTCTATTTCCTCAAATATCTACCATTTTTTATGGTGGAAAACATCCAAAATCTTTCCTTCTAGTTTCATGACCTCATTTCCTGCTTCTTTTTACAGTCATTCACTCATTTAACAAATATGTATGTACTACACTTTTTCATGGACCTCATGTTAGTGAGGAAAAAGCAAAGAGCCAATCCAGTTCAAAACAATGTGATCAGTGCCATAAGATAGTAAAAGGTGCAATGCATACATAAAGAAGACAAGGAGGATAACGCAATATGAAACCAGAGAGAGAATGAATTCAAAATTCAGGGAAACCCTCAAAGAAAACATAAATTGTAGATGAAGGTCAAATAGTGGAGAAATGGCAAAAAATTACTTTGGGTAGACAGAATAACATCTGAAAAATTCTGAAAGGCAAGACAAAGAAATTTAAGTAACTGAATTAACTTCAGTTTGTTTGGAGCTTAAAGTACAAGGCAGTGTCAGGAAATTAAAGGAGGTCAGTATTATGTGCAAGATCCAAACCATTTAGTTTTATGAATTATGCTAACAATTTATTTCTTTAGAAAATGAGGTGCCTTGCCTAATGCCGTGGCCCATGCTAGCCTCAGCAACTTGGCAAGGCCCTAAGTTTAAACTTAGTGAGACCCTGCCTCAAAATTAATTTGGGGATGTAGCTCATTATTAAAGTGCCCCAGGGTTCAGTTCCCAGTATTATAAGAAAAAAAAAAAAAAAGATGCCTGAGAAAGTTTCTGAGCAGGAAAGTGATATGATCAAATTCCTGTTGTAAAAGATCATTCGACTCTTTAACAAATGATACTAGAGTAAATAAATTGACATTCATATCCAAAAAATGAACCCTAATTCTTACCTTGTGCCCAAAACAAAATGAACTTAAAATGGATCTATGTGTAAGATCTAAAGCAGTGAAACTTTAGTAGAAAACATAAAATTCTTGCAAACTTGTGTTAGAAAAAATTTCTTAGGTATAACACAAGTGACAAAAGAGAATACTGACAAGATGAACTTCTGCTCTTCCTAAGATACTATGAAAACAAGACAAGCCACAGACTGGGAGAGAATCTCTGTTAATCATATACCTTGAATAAAAATGTCTTGAATAAATGTCTTGAATAAAAAACACTCAAATCAATAAGAAAAAAATTAAAAATGAAGACAAAAGAAATGACAGACACTTCACCAAAGATTATATCTAGGTGGTAATAAGCACATAAAAAGATGCTTGATACTCTCTTAGCCATTATGAAAAAAAATTTTTTTTTAAAAAAATTTGACTTGGGGCCTTGCTATGTTGTCCAGGCTGGCCTTAAACTCCTGCCTCAGCCTCCCATGTAACTGGGACTACAGGCACATATCACCACTCCTGCTTAAGAAAATGGAATATAAAACCACAATGAGGGCTGGGATTGTGGCTCAGTGGTAGAGGGTTTGTCTGTCATGTGTGAGGCACTGGGTTTGATTGTCAGCACCACATATAAATAAATTCTATTGACAACTAAAAAAATAATTTAAGAAAAACACAATGAAAGACCACTTCACACCTACAAGGTAAGCAATAATTAAAAAAAGAGAAATAACAAGTGTTGATGAGGACAGAGAATAACTGGAAACCTTCTACACTCCTGGTTAGGAATGTTAAACTGTATAGTCCCCATAGAGAAACAATATAATAATTTCTCAAAAGGTTACATATGATATTATTATTAGGTCTCAGCAATTCCATTTTTAGGTATCTGTCCAAGAGAAAAAATAAATTTAAAATAGCTTTATTCATAATAGCAAAAACTGCTGGGCATGACTGTTCACACTTGTAATGCCAGCAATTTAGGAGGCTGAAGCAGGACGATTCCAAGTTCTAGGACAGACCGGGAAACTTAGCAAGATCCTCAGAAACTTAGCAAAATACTGTCTCAAAAACTAAAAGTGATGAGAATGTAGCTCAGGGGCAAAGAACCCCTGGGTTCAAGTCCCAGTACCAAAAAAGAAAGAAAAAATACACCAAAAAATTGGAAATTATTAAAATATTCCTGCAAAAGTGAGTCAACAAACTGGTAGTTCATACCATGGAATACTTTATGCAATAAAAGAAATAAACTATTGATACATACAATAAACTTCACCAAATGGTGCTAGGAAAATTGGATATCCATGTGCTAAGGAATGAAGTCAGTTAGACCCTTACCTTATAACATATATAACAATTAAATCAAAATAGATCAAAGTGGCTGGGGTTGTGGCTCAGCAGTTAAGTGCTTGCCTAGCATGCGTGAGGCACTGGGTTCGATCCTTAGCACCATATAAAAATAAATGAAATAAAGATACTGTGTCCATTTACAACTAAAAAAATCAAAACAAAACAAAGAAACAAAAAAACACATCAAAGATCTAAATGTAAGAGTGGGCTGGGATTGTGGCTCAGCAGTAGAGCTAGCAATGTGTGAGGCCCTGGGTTTGATCCTCAGCACCACATATAAATAAATAAAATAAAATAAAATAAAGTGTCCACCTACGACTAAAAAAATATGTATTTAAAAAAATAAATGTAAGAATTAAAACTAACACTCTAGGAAGAAAATATAGGAGAAAAGCTTCATGAGATTGGATATGATGACTTCTTGGATATGACACCAAAAGCACAAACAACAAAAGTAAAAACAGAAAACTGGAGTACTTTAGAATGTGCATCAAAGGACACAATCAGTTAAGTCAAAAGGCAACCTACTTGAAATGGGAGACACTATTTGCAAATCATTTATCTAATAAGGGGTTAATATCCAGAATATCTAAATAATTCCTACAACTGAATAACAAAATATACCAAACAACCTAATTAGAAAATGGGGGAAAAGACCTCTTAATAGACATTTCTCCAAAGAAGATATACATATGGCCAAAAGACACATAAAAAGAAGCTCAATATCAGTTATTAAGAAAGTACAAATCAAAGTTACAATGAGATATTATTTTACATCCACTAGCATGGCTATTATATTTGGGAAGCTGAGGCAGGAGAATCACAAGTTTGAGACCAGCCTCTGCAACTTGATGAAATACTGTCTCAAAACAAAAAATAAAAAGTGCTGGGGATGTAGCTTAGTTGTAAAGCACCCCTAGATTAAATCCCCAGTGCTGGGGAAAAATGACTAATAATACTAGCAAAGATATTAAAAATATCAGAACCTTTGCACACTTCTGGTGGGAACATGATATGGTGCAGCAGCTATGTAAAACAGTATGGACAAGCTTTAAACACAAGTACTAATATCATAATTAGTATATTATCCATCAATCTTATTTCCAAAAGAACTGGAAGCAGAAATATTTGTATACATGTTCACAGCAGCACTATTCACAATAGCCAAATATAGAAGTGACCAGAATGCCCAGCAATGGATGAATAAATGTACAAAATGTGGCATTACATATATAATGGAATATTATTAAGCCTTACAAAAGAAGGAAATTCTGAGATGTGGTGAAACTCAGTGAGTTTGCCTAGCAAAGTAAGGCTCTAGATTTCATCTCCAGCACCACAAAAACAAACAAAACGAAACAAACAATACCTTTGCAGTATCTACAGAAGTCAAAATCACAGAAATAAAAATTAGAATGGCGGCTGCCAGTGGTGGAAGGTAAGGAAAAATGGAGTTGTTTAATGAGTACAGAATTTCAGTTTTGCAAGATATAAACAATTCTGGAAATTGATTATAAAACAATGTGAATGTACAACGAACTGTTTGCTTAAAGGTTAAGATGCTAAATTTAATATTATGTACACTTTTTAAAAATTGTTTTTTCTAGTTGTAGATGGACACATTATCTTTATTTTTATTTATTTATTTATTTTTAATGTGGTGCTGAGGATTGAACCCAGGGCCTCACGCGTGAGAGGCAAGTCTCCTACCACCGAGCTACAACCCCAGCCCTTATTATATACATTTTGTCACAATTTTTAAAGAAGGAAGAAAACACAGTGTATAATTTCATTGACCTAAAATTGTAGAAAATGCAAAGTAATCTATATTGACAGAACACAGATCAGTGCTTACCAGGGCACAAAGAGGAAAGAAAGAGGTATGACAAAGGGACTTGGAAGGGGGTACAAAGAAACTTGCAGGTGAGAGTTAACACTTTGTAGTGAGAATTTCAGAGGTATAAACATATGTCAAAATATATTAAATAGTAGACTTTAAATATGTGCAGCTTATTGTATGTTAATGTATCTCAATTCAGCTATTTCCTTAAAAAGATAAATGAAATGTTCTAATAAAAATGAGTGTAAAGTCTTACTTCATCATCAATCTTCATCTGAAAATCTTCCTCATTTTCTTCTTCTGGAGCAAAAAAGGACTTCTCACCATAGCCAGCATCCTGGAAGAGGACAATTTCATGCAATTGCAACACAAAGAGCACAAATTCTACTGAATATCAAATATCAAAGTATATCTTGCATAGAAAGTAAATTCTGTAAAGTCTTTATTCTATCACCACTGTATATATCCTAAGGCTATTGATGAACTTACTAGCTGATATAAGGATAGTTAGGACCCATTAAAAAAAAAAAACAAAACTAAATAGAGATGCTCACTTCCCCTGCTTATATGCTGATCTTTTTTAATATTTTATTTTTTATGGTTGGACACAATATCTTTATTTTATTTATTTATTTGTTTTTGAGAGAGAGAGAGAGAGAATTTTAATATTTATTTTTTAGTTTTTGGCAGACACAACATCTTTGTTTGTATGTGGTTCTAGGGATCGAACCCGGGCCGCACGCATGCCAGGCGAGCGCGCTACCGCTTGAGCCACATCCCCAGCCCTATTTTATTTATTTTTATGTGGTGCTGAGGATCGAACCCAGGGCCTCACACGTGCTAGACGAGTGCTCTACCGCTGAGCCACAACCCCAGCACCCAGCCCCTATATGATCATCTTATAGAGATTGAACTAACCACCCAAATGGATAAGCACCAATTTTCAAAGCAAAACAATAATGGGCATGGTGGCACATGCTTGTAATCCTAGCACCTCAGGAGGCTGAGGCAAGAGGATCACAAGTTCAAAGCCAGTCTCAGCAACTTACTGAGACCCAGTCTCAAAAAGGGCTAAGGATGTGGCTCCACGGTTAAGAGCCCAAATAAACAAGTAAACCCCAAGTCCTTCCTTAAGTCTTCCCACTGATGATTTAGGTATATTGTAGTTTCTCCCAGTAGAGAAATTACCACATAAAGTTTGCATTTCTATGTAGTTGTTAATAACCTAGTAACTATCATCTCTAAGTCACAGGCCTAAGCAGTACCTACTAAGTTGCTCACCTTCAGTCGCTGCTCTGCAGCTATCATGCTATAATAAGCACAGCACTGCTCTGGTGACACCATGGCTCTTATCTCCTCTTCAGTTGGTAAACGAAAATCAGATTTCAGTACCCACCAGTTTGAGTCCATCCCTAGAAAAGATACAAAAACACCATTTTGAATTCTAAAGGTTCTGACATTTATTGACAATAAAAGTAGAGCAACCAAAGACTGAAATAGGCAATGATGTAAATGATAATAGACCTCACCACCATTGACATGACTATCTGACCAAGAAAAGTCCTGTTAAGTTTCCAGAATCTCATTTTAAAACATTCAACAATCACACTGAACTCCCTAGTGTTCAAATATCTTGAAAGCAATCAAGGGCTGGGGCTGTAGCTCAGTGGCAGAGTGCCTGCCTAGCATGTGAGAGGACTGGGTTCAATACTTAGCAACATAAAAATAAACAAATAAAAATAAAAGCATTCTGTCCATCTATAACTACAAAAAAATTTAGAAAAAAAGGGCAATCAAAAACTGAGCACATGCCTATAATCCCAGCAACTCGGGAGGCTGAGGTAGGAGGAACTCAACTTCGAGGCCAGCCTCAGCAATTTGGTGAGGTCCTAAGCAATCTAGCAAGACCCTGACTCAAAATAAAAAGGGCTCAGGATGTAACTCAGTGGTAAAGTATTCCTGGGTTGTTCAATCCCCAGTACAAAAAAAAAAAAAAAGGCCATGAAAAAAGCAATCTTGGTGCTGAGATTGGGCTGGGGCTCAGCAGTAACACACTTACCTGGCAAGTATGAGGTATGAGGCACTGGGTTCAATTCTCAGCACCACATATAAATAAATAAAGATCAATAACTAAAAGAATATTTTTTTTTTAAAAAAAAGCAATCTAAACCTCCATAGTTAGAAGATTTGCTACTTTCTCCTTCCAAAGGCCATCAATCTATTTTATCAGTTGTATGCTTATCCTTTAACTCATCATAATTCTTTGAAATTATGAGAAAATTACAGAAAGGAAAAGTAACTGGTCACACTGATGACCTGTGCGTTTGAAGTCAGCACAGAGCTTTAACCTCTTCCGGATGCTGCTTTCTGAATGGGAAGGAAAGGCTTTTTTTATATCTTCCATTCGGATGCGCCGAGGCCGATCTTTACTCTTCCAAAAGAGGCGGTAAATAAAAACCTGCCCAACAAACCAAATGTATTTTATTAGATAAAGGAAAGGATAGATATCCTCACCAGGGTCCCTTTCTCTGCTGAGCTCAGATGTTTTCATCTTTCCTGTGTCCCCAAATCCAGATACCCATTTCTTATGCATCCTGACCCCCGACCCACACTCCCATTTTACCTGGAGGAAGTCTCGAATGTGCGTATTGGCCCTTTTGGAGTTAGGCCCAGGAACTTCAAACAAGGGGCACTGCTGTCCAACCACAAAAATATCTACTAATTCCCGAATATAGTAACCCTGTCTTGTCCGAATGATCAGGAAGTCAGTTTCTGGCATCTTATGAAGATAAATTGGAGCACGAAAAAGGTTGTTCTCAAATGCCTAACAAAAGTAAACACAAAAATCAGACAGATTAGTCGTAGGAAATTCAGTCAAGTAATGACAAAGGAAAATCAAACTTGCTCCTCTCCATTAGTCTAAGTTTATCCAATAAAATAAATGAACTATCATATGGAATATATCAAGAAAGGTTAGACTTTTTTTTACTCATTGTCTTTTAGAGTCAGAAAGAGGAAAATATAAGATTCAGATTCCGATGAGGCTGGCTCTGCCATTTGTTCTATGAAGTCGGATAAGTTTTTTAATTTCTCTGAGCTTAATTTTCTACAAAATGGAGATATTTAAAATGCCTATACTTCAGAGGATTGCTATGAAGATTAGATGTAAAAATTACTTTATAAACTAACAAGTATTAGTATGCTATTGCTCTAAATCTCTGCATAACATCTGACACACAACAGGTAAGATCAAAATATTTACTGAAGCTGGACATGGTGGCACACATCTACAATCCCAGCAACTCAGGAGGATGAGACAGGAGGATTGCAACTTTGAGGCCAGCCTTAACAACTTAGCAAGACCCTAAACAACTTAGTGAGATCCTGCTGTAAGATCATTGGTAAAAAGTACCTGCAGGGTTCAATCCATAGTGTGTGTGTGTGTGTGTGTGTGTGTGTGTGTATATATAATTAGTGCATTAGTTAAAAAAAATCAGAAAAAAACAATTAATGAAATAGCATGCCAGAGAAGACAACTAAACACAAGAAAAGAGGAGGACAGGGGACAATAAGAAAATATTAAATGTAGTTTAAGTAGAAACCAAATGGGGATCAACGGAAGAAGTCTATGAGTCTAGGAAAAGCCTTCCCAGAAAATCCTAGAATCTGACAGAAAGGGGACAACCTTCATTATACAGGTGAGAAAAGTTCTGAATATGAAATGTAGACAGAAAAAGGATTACAAAAAGACATTAAAGGATCTTTAAGAGATTACAAAAGAATGGGTGTAGTGGAGCAACCCTGTAATCCCAGAAATTCCAGCAACTTGGGAGGCTAAAGAGGAGGATCTCAAGTTTAAGGACACCCTGGAGAACTTAGACCCTGTCTCAAAACAAAATTTTAAAAAATGGGCTGGTGCCAGCACAGTGGTGCATGCCTGTAATCCCAGCAGCTTGGGAGGCTGAGGCAGGAGGATTGCCAAGTTCAATGCCAGCCTCAGCAACTCAGCAAGGTTCTAAGCTGCTCAGTGAGACCCTATGACTCAATGGTTAAGCACCCCTGGGTTCAATCCTTAGTACCCCCCCAAAAAAAGAGAATGGGTTAGGATTGTAGTAGCTCAGTGGTAAGGCATCCCTGAGTTCAGTCCCCACTGCCACTAATAAAATGAGTCTACAAAGGAAGGGCATGGAGGGGGTAGGGTGCAATGGCACATGCCTGTAACCCCAGGGGCTCAGGAGGCTCAGACAAGAGGATCACAAGTTCAAAGCTAACTTCAGAAATTCAGCAAGGCCTAAGAAACTAAGCAAGACAGTGTCTCCAAATAAAAAGTAAAATAAGGGCTGGGGATGTGGCTCAAGCGGTAGCATGCTCGCCTGGCATGCGTGTGGCCCGGGGTTCGATCCTCAGCACCACATACAAAAAAAAAAAAAAAGATGTTGTGTCTGCTGAAAACTGAAAAATAAATATTGAAATTCTCTCTCTCTCAAAAAATAAAAAAAATAAAAAGTAAAATAAGGTGGGGATGTGGCTCAGTGGTTAAGCACCCCTGGTTCAATCACGAGTACCAAAAAAAGGAGAATGGAACCAGGCATGATGACACATGCCAATAATATTAACAACTTGGAAGGCTGAGACAGAGTTGTAGGTCCAAGACCAGCCTGGAGGCTGGGGTTGTGGCTCAGTGATAGAGCACTTGCCTAGTATGTGTGAGTCATTGGGTTCGATTCTCAGCACCCACATATAAATGAATGAATAAAACAAAGGTGATGGACCTTTGTTTTATTCATTCATTTATAAGACTACTTCTATTAAGAAAAAAAAGACCAACCTGAACAGCTTAATGAGAGATCCTGTCTGAAAATAAAATTTGAAAAGGGCTAGGGATATAGCTCAGAGGTACAGTGCTTGCCTAGCCTGTATAACCCATTAAGTTCTATCCCGGTACTGCAAAAGAGGGAAGGGGGGAGGTGGGAAGGGGAGGAAGGATAGATTGTGGTAAGGGGCTAGAGAGTGTAGCCCAGTGATAAGGCCCTAGGTTCTATCCCTAGCACCACACACACTTGCACACAGGCACACACCCTTAAAGGGAAATGGAATGTAAATGTAAAGGATAAAGAAAAAACTGGAGGATACACAATAACAATAGTGAAATAAATTAGGTAAAAGAGTAAGGAAAATGGCAAAGATTGCCCAAAGAAATGAGACAAGGCTGGGTTTTGACTCAGTGGCAGAGCACTTGCCTAGCATGTGTGAGGCACTGGGTATTTCTCAGCACTGAATATAAATAAATAAGGTAAAGGTCCATTGACAACTAAAAACTTTTTAAGGAAAAAAGTTAAAAAAAAGAGAGAGACAAAAATCAAGGTAGAACAATGCTACAGAGTTCCTCACAACATCTGTGGACCTCCATATTTTCCCTTAAATATGCAAAAGCTATTATCAGTGTACCTAATACCCATTAGAACAAAAAATAAAAAGCATATTTCATTATCATAGGACTATAGATGGTCCAAGTATGGTCCAATACTCAAAAAGATCACAACTCATTACCAAAAAGTACCAATTTTACACAAAGGAATTAAACATTCATAAATTACATTACATACACACTAACAGGCACACACAGACTTTGGAAAGTGAAAATATTTTCTCTCCCCATGTGGTTTGCACATAGTAATTTCCAGCAAGCCTGGGAGGGAAATGAGCAATACGAACTCAGAGCAAGGATCATGAGCCTGCCTGCTCCAGCTTAAGGGGAACAGTCTGGAAGATGTGGCAGTTGTTCCAATCCTACATTAACTTCCATATGTCACACAGATATTACTGGGCTTATCAGTGTGTATTTATAGCAAACTTCTTTATTTAGCCTCAGAATAACGCAATTAGGGATTGGGGGTGTGTAGTTCAGTGGTAGAGAACTGTTCAGTGTTTAAGAGTCGCTGGGTTCAATCACCAGCACCACAGGAAAAAAAAAAAAAAAAAAGGAAGGAAAAACAAAATAAAAAACCCCACCCATCATTAAGGGCCAGTTTTAAGAAAAAGATTATTTTAAAAAATTTTTAGATTATACAGATCTTTGCTATAATTTATACATGTAATATTATCTCAATCAATTATAATTGGTTCTTTCTGGGCTAACTAGCTCCTTATCTGTCAATTTCCCTAGCAAAAGAATAAGAAATAGAAAGAATTCTTCACCTGTAGTAATTGGCCAGGATGGAGAGAGCCCAGAAAAGGAGATGTATGGCAGTAAACAGTTTCCCCATATTTACAATCTGGAGCTCCAGGATCTTTTCCAGGTTTCTATGAGAAACACAGCAAACTAAAATTACTATCACAGGATATAATCAATAAACCAATACATAATATTGTACAAGCATAGCACTTATTAATATTAACCACAAAAATACTGTTGCTCCCAAGAAATTTATAATATAAATAAAACTACATATTCACAGATCATTGATATGTAATTACAGCTACAGTAATAAAATTTTTTTGAGCAAAGACTCACCCGTTTATAATAGTTTTTTATCTTGGTTGCCATGCCAACTTGCATCATTAAAGGTCCATTTTCCTCACTGTATTCTGCAAGAATAAGATCTCCATCTTTGCCTGTGAGGTCCTGAGGTGTGCGCATAAAAAACATCTCTCCACCACCGGAAGCTTGCCTCTCTTGTTCTCTCATCTGTCCAGAACAAAGAAAATACAGTCCAGCTACTGACAGGACAATAACTATACACACTGATGTAATTCAATCTGAGAAAACATAAAAAATATTTTACCTTGCTATTTTTTCAACTCCATTGTGAAAAATTTTCAAACGCTAGTAAAACTGAAAATACAGTTCTATGAATACCTATTATCCCACTACCTAGATATAACTTCATATTTTTCCATATTTGTCTATAACTATCTCTCTATAATTCTTCTGAACCATTTTTGAAGGCTGTAAGTCACTATAATGCTTGAAGTATTTTCCTATATATCTCCTAAGAATTAGGATGTTCTCCTAAATAACCAAAATAAAATTTCATCACATCTATGAAAATAAACAATTCCTTAATAGAATATCTAACACATTCCAAATTTACATCACAATTTTTTTAAAAAATATTTATTTCTTAGGTGTAGATGGACTCTACACAATGCCTTTATTTTTATGTGGTGCTGAGGATCGAACCTGGATCCCACCGGTGCTAGGCAAGCACTCTACCACTGAGCCACAATTCCAGCCCTACATCACAATTCTTTTATAATTATTTTTTAAATGTTTTTAGTTGTAGATGGACACAATATCTTTTAAAATTTATTTTTATGTGGTGCTAAGGACTGAACCTAGTGCCTCACACAGGCTAGGCAAGCACTCTACCACTGAGCTACAACCCCAGTCCTTATAACTTCTTTTTTGTAACCAGGATTAAGATATACCTTGGCCTTCTTTTTTATGTGTTTTAGCAAAGGCTGGACTGAGTGGGGACCTGGCTGAGATAGTGCTCCAAAGGAATACTTTTTCAGAGGAGGGCGATGAAACTGCCGAAGTTTGATGGGGCCCATGTGTGTGGGGAAGAATGGCTGTCGTAATTCCACAGCAGGAATTGAGTGCTAAAATGGGAAATAGAAAATTTAAAATTAAGTACTGATTTAAATTAGTAAATTAGCCAAGGTAAGATCTACCCATATCCTTCATCAGAACAAAGCTGTGGGATCCCCTCCACCACAGAAAAAATGCTTATTTGTACCTGAATAATATTCCCTCCGAAAGTACCTCGAAGACCCTGTTGCTTGGGGTAATAATACTCATCATTGGAGAGATTCCAGGGATCTTTCACTTCTGGCTGAGACATGTTCTAATGATAAACCATAAAATAAACCTTAGTCAGACTACCCTTCTCCATTTCCTTTGTTTGTTCTTCTAAACCCCAAGTCCCTTTTCTCTTATCAGACCTGCTGTGGTTCTTCCTTAATGACTCCTGTTTTCCCTAAGAGAATTCGACTCTTCTTTAGAGATGATTCTTTCTTACTCTCCTTAGAGGGAGAATTAGAAGTAGCCTCCTCCTTCTCATCAGGAATCTCTGGGGATAAAACAAAAATGACTCTGGAATTGCTATCCCTGATTTACATTACCTACTGACATATCTGAAGTTCCTAAAGATGTTCCCAGACCATTTTTAGTCCACAATTCACTCTATATGCAGGACATCTTTTTTCTCCATATTTTTATTGGTGCATGGTAGTTGTACATAATGGCGGGGATTTGTTGTTACATATTTGTACATGCACACAAAATAACAATATAATTTGGCCAATATCAATCCCCACAATAATAATGCCTGACCTCTTAAAAAGAGCTACTTTCTCACATTCCTACATGAATTTTCCCTAAATGATACACACAAACTAGAAACAGAGCCACAACTCTGCTCTCTCAAACTGTTACCTATAAATTTATAGTTTTGACCTTCTCCAACCCTTCAGATTTCCTCTTCTCCCTTAACTTTCGCAGAAAGGTATCAAAGATAGAGAAAGTACACTGGCCTCTGCCAGTAACATACCCAAAATGAGGTTTTCATCATTGGGATCAAGTGTCAAAACCGGAGGCTCCAACAGCCGGGGCATAGCCTGTGCATCCCAAATAATATTGTCCTCCCAGCGTCCATACACCAGATCCTCATTGTCAATGGGGAAAATGGAATACCAAGGTTTGTCATCATCCAGAGTAGCTGTAAAACCTAGTCAAAATAGGAAGAAAAAACAGGAATAGACAAAACTTTTATGCCACTTTCAATCATCATTCTAAGCAAACAGAAAGCAAATGTAGCTATTAAAAAAGGAGCCTATTTGATACAATGTATCTCAATTTTTACAAACTGTTGCAGACAAAATGTTCATTACAATATTGTTTCTAATAGTCAGCCCAAATGTTTAATAAAGGATTGGCAAAGTAAATTATGGTAATGAAAGATATGTTAAAACATGCTAACAGTTGGGCACAGGTGCATGCTTATGAATCCCAGGGGCTTGGGAGGCTGAGGCAAGAGGACTATTGAGTTCAAAGCCAGCCTTTACAACATACTGAGGTCCTAAGCAACTCAGTGAGACTCCATCTACAAATAAAATACAAAAAAAGAGATGGGGATGGGTTCAAAACCCAGTACCAAAAAAAAAAAACAAAAAACAACAAAAAAAAAACAACTTGGGAAATTTAGAAAGGTACAAAGAAAATTGAAGTTGTCTGTAATCTTACAAATCAGAAATAACTACAGTGAACCCTTTACTATATTTCCTTTTAGTAAGCTTTCTGGTTATAGAGCCTGCTGCTTCTTTCATTTTTATAAATGGGCTATCAGGTATACCGTTTCTTTTTTTTTTTTTTCATTTAAAATATTTCCCATGTCATTAAACATTTTTACAAAGAACTATGAAATGACATAGAAAAATATGCTGAGAAAAGTACAATATATAAAACCGTACATACAGAAATGAGCTCAAATATGCCTACACATATATCAAAACAGAAGTCAAGGAAAACATATCAAAATTTTAACGTGATAATCTCTGGATAGATTACTGGTGATTTTCTTTCTGACACTATACTGTATTTTCAAAGTGCTCTACATTAAGCATGGTATACTTTTTAAAAACCTATTTAAGATAAAAAGCAAATTCTAGGATTGCAAAGATAAAGGGACTTTAGGGGCTGGGGTTGTGGCTCAGTGGTAGAGCACTTGGCTAGGATGTATGAACCACTGGGTCTGATACTCAGCACCACATAAAGAAATAAAAAAAAAACTAAATTTGAAAAAATTTGGGCTTTAGAAACAAAAGTATACTATAAAGGTTTGTTAACTTCAAAATGGCTGTCACATTTTTCTAATAAGAAACCAGAATGGGGGCTGGGGTTGTGGCTTCAGAGGTAGAGCACTCGCCTAGCATAAGTGAGGCTCTGGGTCCGAGCCTCAGAACCACATAAAGTAAAATAAAGACACTGTGTCCACCTATAACTAAAAAATAAAAATTAAAAAAAAAAAGAAACTAGAATGGGCTGGGGACATGGCTCAATGGTAGAGTGTTTGCCCAGCATGTGTAAAGCCCTGAGTTCAATCCTCAGCACTACCAGAAGAAAAAATATGGAAAAAAAAAAAAAGAAGAAGAAGAATTTGGACTAGAATCAGAGTTTAGACCCAAAACAAAGAGCCATCACAGACGCACACCTTGTTGAACATTGTAAGCCATAGCATTCCTAGTCATACTGGAAGGAAGCCAGCCTGCCAGGCTTGCACGCTGAGGTTTTGTCCCTTTGTGTTTGACATCCTCCCCATCCCAGATGATATCATCCTCCCAATGCAGCTGTGTCACCATCAGGAAGTTTTCATCAGCCAGAAGATCAGTGCCATTGCTTTCCTCAAGTTTCCTAAATTCCTGTAGAAGTAGGAAAGAAACAAGCCCTTGATTGGTCAGTTCCCACTCGAAATCCCACACCAGAGATACACAAGACATATCAAAAGTGGTACTTAAGAGAACCACCTTATAACAGAATATATTTTTCCTCTCCCACTCCTAGTTTGGAACAGCTTATTTCACAAACAGAATCCTTAGAATGAGGGCTATTACCAGGATGATATACCATACCAAACCAAGCAAAAGCTTTAAACACCTACACTTCTTACCACATATCTCCCCTTCTAAAAAGCTTAGAAAAAAAAAAAGGTGATAAGAGTACTAAGCACAGATTCCTTTTTTCAGTGTTTCTTACCTCCATCATTCCACATTTTATCACAGGTTCATGTTCAGTCTTTCTCAATTTGAAGCCATAGTCAAATCCACTGCCATCTTCAGGGACACTTAGCATATCATACCACAGTCGGGCAGGCCCATAACGCCACTCAGCCACTCTTGGTTTGGTATCTGTCACTTTATCTATATCTCCAGTTGACTGGGAGAACTTGGACTCCACAGGAGCCATCATTGTAATCTGTAACAGAGCAAGGAAGTCAAAAGGGGAGAATTTCCCTATCCCAGATATCCTAAGTCTATAGGGAACTAACAATCAAAAGGAGAACTTAGAGGAGTCAAGAAGATGATTCTTGACTAGGAATCTTTACCTGGAGTTAGAATGTAAAAAACGGAGGTATACTATGGCACATTCTGCCTCTTATTCAAACTTTCTTATTCAGCACTATATCACCCACCATACTTGCCTGCGACTGCTACTCCCACCCAAATCAAATACTATTACACCAAGGAAGGGACAATTGCTGTACTTGACTCATAATTAATCACTGATAATTAGCACAAAACTCTGCCTGATGAGGTGTTATTTCCAATTTTGACATAAGCTAGGGAGAATTGTATCTTTTCTCCTTATAAGCCTTAACCCAGGTCTTTGTGTTGCCTACTTCATCATCAGAGAGACACTGCTCTGGAGGTGGTGGTGGAGCATAGTCATAGTTCCACAAAGACTTCTGGTTGACTTCTGATTCTATTGAACACTCCACTTCCTGGATCTGTTCTTCCTGTATCAGCTCCCGATGCTTCTTTTTTCTCTTTCTCCGAGCACTCCGCCAAACTGATGGGACATTCTTCCCTGGTCCAAAAAGACGTAAGAACCGTAACACCTAGAACACAGGACATATTACTATGTCAGAGACTCAATATCAGATAGGAAATAGCAGCTTTTTTGTTTGAAAACTCTCAAGGGATCTATTCTACTATAGAGAAATTGAGGAGTGCTACATTCAGATTTATAAAATACATAACAAAAGTAATGTTCTCTTAATAATTTGGACTAGTTCTTCTGAGATAACAGGACAATTTCTAATAAGAACACATGTCCTATAAAAACATACACAAGTTCAAAAAAAGACCTAATATAGCATAAACAGCTTTTATATAGACAATTATGTTACTGAATAAGGAAACCCTTAAGTCCTATTCATTCTATACTCAGCATCTGAACAACAGAACTCAGTATCTGGAAGAGGTCAGTGGTTTGCAGTATGGATACTCTCCACAGTAAGTACCTTTCCAGGCCGAAACTCTGGAAAAAGTTCTGTGACACTCGGCAACAACTTGGTGGCATCGTGCTGCATAATCCCAGCCAATGGTAAGGTCAGCTTTCCATCCTCAGATTCTGCCTGTGTTGCTTCCTGAGGTCCCATCTCAGATTCTGAGTCAGAGGAACTACTGAAGTCCACTTTTTCTGAGGCCAAAGAGGAAGGGGCAATGATGGAGGGCAAGATGATGCCTTCTCCATCTTCAGACACTGCAACAAGGAAGAAAAACGCCTTTGGCATGTAACTGTTAGCATAATTCCTCAAATTCAGTCAATACCCACTCTAGGCTAAATGCATGGCTTAATGGCAGGGGATAGAGTCCCAAGCACCCAGATTACTAGTTTGCAACCCAGAAAACTTATCCAACTCATTTCTTCCCACCATGCCCAACTCACCTTGTACCTGGTACCCTAGGGTTGTGACGAGAGAAAACAAACACTATTACTACATTTACTACTTTCCATAAGTGACCAATATTGTGCCCAATGTAACGAAAAGCAAAATAATGTAATACTTATAATATCAGTCAGGTCCTATGCTGTCCAGGTCAGTAATCCATAAAATGGAGAATTTTAAGCCCACAGGATAATGATGAGATTGTTTGGCATAAAATAAAATCTACACACAAAGTTAACAGTGACATTCAGCCTCCAGACTAAAAAAGAAATGGCTTGAAACTCCAACAGAAAAAAATTGGGGTTAACATATCACCAAAATACAGGAGACCAAAGGTGTTCTTCCCAATCAAGCCCATGACAAGGTTATTACTGTTATATTCTAGATTGTCTCTTTTGAACAGGTAGTTTCTAAATGTGAGTATGCAAATTAGTTGCATCAGAAATTCTTAGGAAAGTCTTTTTTTCCCCTGTAGGAAAAGCGTTTGAAAATTCCTGGGTTCTACCCCAGATTCTCTCAATCAGACATTCTAAGAATGAGAGTAAGCTGTCATTTTTAAAGACTTGAGATAATTCTGATAAGCAGTCAGATTTGAGAATCACTGACCTAAACTACTACTTCTTCACTGCAGTTCAAAATACTATTAAATGTTTTAAAGGTAAAGTTTCTCTTTAATACTAAAATCTGAGATTATATAGATTATATAAATCATTATTAGAAGTGTTATCCTTTCCTAGCAGTTTAATTTAATAATCTCTCATGTGGGTAACAAAAGCCTGGATTTATGAATGTAAATTTGTTCCTTGAACAATAACAGACAGTCTTTACTTACCACCAGTAATAGCATCCTGGTCCTTATCTTTCTTCACTGGTCCTGGTGGTGGAGGTGGAGGAGGCATCAACTTGCAATCAATGTCTTCACAATCAGCATCATAGTCATCTTCATCATAATCTAAAAAAAAGAAGAAAGTAGTTACCTCCTCAACATCCAGAATGCTGGACAATAGCCTTGAGCTTCCTTGCCACTCGATAATTTAAAGCACAATAAGAAGCACTATACATAGCCTTTAAGAATACACAGAATGCCGGGTGCACTGGCACACACCTATAATCCCAGCAACTCAGGAGGCTGAGGCAAGAGGACCATGGGTTCAAAGCGAGCCTTGGCAACAACGAGGCACTGAGCAATTCAGTGAGACCCTGTCTCTAAATAAAATGCAATAGGGCTGGGGATGTGACTCAGTGGTCGAGTGCCCCTGGTTTCAATCACAGATACCAAAAAAAAAAAAAAAAAAAACCCAGAAGATGTAGCTTCTGCCTTCAAAAAAGATATTATTTCATGGTTTTAGCCAAATGCTTACTACCTCATACAGAACATGAGAAAGCTTCAAAAGCTATTTGAAATCTTTTACTGATTAAACTCCAGGGCTTTGTGCATGTGTGGCAAACATTCTACCAACTGAGCTATATCCCCATCCCCCTTTTCCTAATCATATTGTTTACTTCTGTTTTATCTTCAGCCTGCTCAATCTCATAATTGAAATGAAAAATTTTCTTGTCAGTTTCTCGTAAGATCAGATTTTATTCTCATCTCCCAAGTCTTGGACAGTCTTTTTTTGCAGTTTATTATTATTTTCACTGCTCTCTAACCACCAGCAACACTTAATACTTGGTCCTGAATGCTCTTTTATTCTCCTGCATAATCCCAAATTCCTTTTCTCAATAATTGCCCTTACCAGTCCCAAACCCAAATCTGTATTATTTTGCCCTGACTTAGCACATCTATAATTCCACCATATCTGTTACCACCCATAGAACTTTACTACTCAGATATCCCCTTCTGTTACTATCAATGCCACATCCATCCTCATTCTCCCACCTTATGATTTTAGTTGACTTTCTCCTTGATCAGTCTGTCAAGCTGCTTTGTATGTTTCTCCAATCAATCATTAGTGCAGTAATTACAATTTTCATTCATTAAGCTTCCATTATGTGCTGGGAATTTTTAGCTATTTTATATATAATCTTCTTAATAATGATACAAAATAGGAATTATTCTATATCTCATACTCTGTATCTCATATTCTGTATTAAGTCATACTGATGCAGTATCAGTATTGCTCAAGTTTGACCCTGGCTATCATCTTCCACAACTGTCACCCTATTCCAGACATTGAAAACTTTACATCTAGCCTGTGAGAACAGTCTCCAAGTTAGTCAGTCACTTTTGCTCTTTAATCAAAACTCCAGAGCAACAAATAATACTTCTCTAAACTATCACATAGGAAGAAAGGCTACTTAACATTTACAGAGCATCTACCACAGTACTATACTATGTAGGCACTTTCAAATCAAAATTCTCATAAGGCATATTTGGGGGGGGCTATTGGGGACTGAACTCAGGGGCACTCAACCACTAAGCCAGATTTCCAGCCCTATTTTTTTTTTTTTATTTTATGTAGAGACAGGGTATCATGGAGTTGCTTAGTGCCTCACTTTTACCAAGGCTGGTTTTGATCCTCCTGCCTCAACCTCCTGAGCTGCTGGCATTAGAGGAGTGCACCACCACATCTGGCTCCCAAGGCTTTTTTTTTTTTTTTTTTTTTTTTTTTTATGCTGGGGATTGAACCCAGAGCCTCGTGCACACAAAGCAAGCACTCTACCAACCTGAGCTATATCCCCAGCCCTCACAAGGCATTTTAATGAGATCAACATTATCACCAACAAGTAAACCAAGAGATTATTACAAATGAGAAAGCCTTGGGCTGGGGATGTGGCTCAACTGGTAGTGCGCTCGCCTGGCATGCGTGCGGCCTGGGTTCGATCCTCAGCACCACATACAAACAAAGATGTTGTGTCTGCCAAAAAACTAAAATAAATAAAAAATATTAAAAAAAAATGAGAAAGCCAAGCCTCAGAGACCACATAACTTGCCCACAGTCACACTGAATATGAGTTGTAATTTGAACCTATGACATTCTGAACCCAAGTCCATTTCTTTTTCATTATACCACCTACTTCTCACTTAACGGTCTATGTTGATTTATAATTCTTTACAGTATCAAATTGCAAGTAATGTATAAAGGTGCTAAAAAATTGTTCTATATTTGTTTTTTACTACTCAGAAGTTTTCCATTACTTTTAAGAAAACCTGCTGACCAATTTCCCCATATTACTAACTTACCATCCCTAGTAAAGACAAGAAAATTGAACCTGAAAAATCAGAGCTGCTGCCACTTCCCCTTTAGCCTAAGCCAAGGTGCTCAAAAATAATAGGTATGCAATTTGACAGTAATTGTGGTATTCCACCAAAACTAAACTAAACACTCTAGCTGGGCATAGTGATGCACACCTGAATCTCAGCAACTCAGGAGGCTGAAGCAGAAGGATTCCAAGTTCAAGGCTAGCCTCAGCAACTTAGTGAGGCCCTCAGCAATTTAGCAAGACCCTGTCTCAAAATAAAAAAGATCCAGGGATGTAGCTCAGTGGTAAAGCACCCCTGGGTTCAATTCCCTGTAGAAAAAACAAGTAAATATAACACTATACACAAACATGAGCTTATGGTGGGCTTGTTTTATATACTATGAAAATTTGTTTTATATTTGTTTATTCCATTGTCCCCAAAATGACAGTATCCCTGAAGGCACAGTGTACAACTAATATTTTTCATGGGTTACTTCTTATGTTTGTATGCCATTAATTCCCTTTTTATAAGTAATACCCAAATCCATTCACAGGCCCTCAAAAAAACTAAGCTCAAGTACTTTTTTTAATACCTTTATTTATTTTTATGTGGTGCTGAGGATTGAACCCAGGACCTCACACATGATAGGCAAGTGCTCTACCGCTGAGCCACAGCCCCAACCCCACTAAGCTCAAGCATTTATAAAGGTTTTATCAGGGGCTGGGGATATGGCTCAAGTGGTAGCGCGCTCGCCTGGCATGCGTGCGGCCTGGGTTCAATCCTCAGCACCACATACAAACAAAGAAGTTGTGTCCGCTGAAAACTAAAAAATAAATATTAAAACACTCTCTCTCTCAAAAAAAAAAAAAGGTTTTATCTGCATTTCTCAAGAGCACAAAATCTAATTTGAAGAGGTGGACAATAAAAAACAATTTCACATAAAAGTTTCAAGCAGTGAGAGATAGCATAGGGCACTACAAGAATAAACTATGATCAACTACTTTAAATTCAAGATCTCGAAACAGAGCTCCAAAAGATTTTAAAAAATGGATTTTATTACCTTTGCATCATGTTGCCTATCAATGTTTATAGCATGAAACAGGTACTCAATATCTAATGAACTGAATTCTTAAATTTTAGGATATGCCACTAGCTAACTGCAGAACTTTTGATAGTTTCACATTTTACTAAAATTCTCTTCAAGTTGTCCTCATCCATTAGGATGCTAAGAATCGATAATCACTAAGTCATCTTCCAGTTCGATATATTTTATTTATTTATTTTTTTTTTTGGTAGGACTGGGGATTGAACTCATGGGTACTCTACCACTGAGCTATATCCCGATTCTTTTTATTTTTTTATATAAATAAAACTAAGCTGTTCAGGCTGGCTTCAAATCTTTGATCTTCCTGCCTAAGCCTTTCAAATTCACTGTGGCAACAGGTGGGACCAATCTTGAAATTCTGATTCTACAATGCAGCACCATACAATGGGGGAAAAAAATCTAATATTGTAAGCAAGCATACTGGTAATGAGCAATTTGAGCCAGAAATTACAAATGCTCATTTGTATATGAAAGTGTATACTTAATCCTTTTTGTACTATCAATTCTTTGAGGACAAAGACTGAGCTTGTTTCACAGATGCCAACTTTATTTTTACTTGGGATTGAACTCAGGGGCAATTTACCACTGAGTCACATTCCCAGCCCTTTTTTGTATTTTATTTAGAGAGAAGGTCTCACTGAGTTGCTTAGTGCCTCACTTTTTGCTGTGTTTGGCTTTGAACTCACAATCCTCCTGTCTCAGCCTCCCAAGCCGCTGGGATTACAGACACGCACCACCACACCCAACTCATAGACTCCAACTTTGAAAAGCATCTGAAAACAGTGCTATGAACCCTGTGAACTCAGATATCAGAGATCAAGAAAGAAAGCATTATCATCCTTATCATTGAGAATTTCAGACTTAACAGTATGAGGAATAGAAGCTTGAATATGGCAAAACTGTCTGAAAACACACAAAAAAGGATAGCAGCTACTTGGAACTGACAAAGGAAGAAGAGCAAACACGTGGAGAAGGAACAATGACAGGAGGCAGACAAGAGAAGCACTAAGCAACTCAGTGAGACCCTGTCTCTAAATAAAATACAAAATAGGGCTGGAGATGTGGCTCGGTGATCAAGTGTCCCTGAGTTCAATCCCTGGTACTCCCCTCCCCAAAATAAAGAAAGCAGGCAGAGAAACCAAAGCCCAAGCCAGACATGGTGGTATACTCCTGTAATCTTAGCGACTCAGGAGGCTTAGGCAGGAGGATCCCAAGTTCAAGGTCAGCCTCTGCAACTTAGCAAAACCCTGTCTCAAATAAAGAAAATAAAAATAAAATTCTAGGGATATAGTTCAGTTTACAGCGCCCTTGGGTTTAATCTCCAGTTCCAAAAAAAAAAAAAAAGAAAAGAAAAGCCCAGACTACATACATAAAAATGCAATGGAATTCTATATTCAAGACGCCAAAGAATCACCTGAGTGGCAAAGGGGCTGCAAGCTCCCCATTGTCTGCTGATATCTTCGGCTTTCATCTTCTGCTACCTCATTGATGTCTGAATAGTCCACAGCATCTTCTGTACTTCTAATCCAACCTATAAATAAAAAGCGGGGAATCTCAAGAAATAGCCAAGGAATTCTCACTCCTTCAAATAGTTCCCTTTAAAAGTACATGTGCCGTAAGTGGCCAGCCTCCTCCCCCACCTTCCTCCCCATAACCCAGACTTCACCTTCATCATTTACCAAGGCACTGTCAGTCCCTGTCAATTCTTCATTTGCAGTGAGTTCAGTGATCAGGCTGCCCAGACCCAAAGCTCCCAAGCCTGCCAGGTGCTTCTTACACTCCTGAAAAAGGGACAGCACCAGAATCGAAAGTGTCCCAGACTCCCTGGTTCATAACCACCATATATCCACATGAAAAATGATTCTGCAGTGTGCTTGCTAAATTCAAGAACTGTATAGTAAATCCACTAAACTCCACATTTATCAGATCTTTATTAAATAAAGTACCATGTCCAATTTCATGGCCACACTTTAAGGTAACAGGACTATTCAAAGAACCACCACCAAGAACAGCAGTTCTCCAAATAAAGGCCAAAGCACTGAGGTCATCCGGATTAGAACTGATCTTTTATACTCTTTAGTGCGGGAGTGTTGTAGGGGAAGGGGAACACTGGTCAACAGCTTTATTCCTTGTAAATAAATTAAAGGGAAGTCAAAGCAGCTAGTTTCACTTGGACACTGGTAACAATATCATGAATGTCTTTGAACACACTGGGACCAGAAGAGGTCAGCCCCCTTCCCCTCGCCCCGATGGTTGTAACATTCACTTTTCTGCTGCCTAGGGCTAGAACCCAAGGACTGTTGCTGGCTCTAGAGCCATCCAAGTCAGCGATGTCAAAAATGTAGTTTCAAGATTTTCCAAGGTTCTAATTTTAAAGGTTTGAAAGCAACTTCACTAGGTTCACCAATTGTTTGGTCAAGTAAAACGTAATCTCCAAAGACACCCACCCCGCACCACAGACCTTCTTACTTGTCTCCTGTTTTCCCTCTTTTCTCCCCAACCTTGCCCATAACTGCACCCTCTCGCTCTACACTACTCTTTAATAAAATCTATGAAGATACAGTACTATTCGCTTTCGTTAATAACGTCTTCTATTCTCATTTCCTAAGCAGCCTCTACTCTGCTTGCTCCTTCTACTCTCCTTAGCCACACCACCCACAGCCCTATCCCCACGCCCACCCCCTCACATCGTCCAAGACGTTTTCCCCCTCCAGCTGCCCAGCTCCATTGATGTTGCCGAAAAGGAAACCGGTTAAAGAAAATGGGCCGCCTCCAGCAGAATCTTCATCGCTGTCCGTGTCGGACATGATGGCGGCAGTACTGCCGGCAGCGACTGCGGACCGCAGCAAATCCAAGCCTGGTCCCATGGACCGGAAATAAAAACATCAGTCGCACAGAAGTGACTAACAGGGCTCCTTGACCCTACATGCCCCTACCGGAAGTTGAACAAGGGAAAAAGCAACCGGAAAGACCGGCTGTCCTACAGGGAAATAGATCGGTGTTACTACTTTACTAGCCGTTTTTGATTCGACCATGCGAGATCACGAGGTAGGGCAGGTGGGAAGCGGTTGGTCAAAGAAACTGTTCGGTCCCGCCCCCTCAGGTACGCGCGTGCGTTCGCTTTGCACCGGAAAAGGGCAAAGCATCTTTCTCCGTTCAGAAGGGATTGTGGAGTCACGTGGCCTGTGTCCTGGAAACTGCCGGTCACCACGTTACGATACTGGGAAGTAAGGGTAGGGATCGGTTCGTTTGTTTGGTGCTGCCTGCGATTTTACTGCTCCTTTCCAAAGTGAAATTTGCAGTGAATTGTTCAGGCAGCCCCCAGCTGTCGCAGAGGTATCGGTGCAATTACTTGTTTTGAATTTACATTTCTCCATAGTAATAGATTTTCCCCACAACGTCTTACTTTCGGAAATGTGAAAGATTATTAAAATTAACTGGCTCTTCACCTAGATTGACAACGTTTTTCCCCTGAATCATTTGAAAGTGGGTTAGTGGGTTGGGGGATGTAACTCCGTGGTCACGCAAGCACAGCCCTTGGGTTATTACCGGCAACGCAAAAAATTAAACACTAACATGGGTTCCTCAGTCCTAAAAGTAGTTATCTTATTATGTAACCACAGAACCATTATCACATCTTTAAAAACCGAGTCAATATATGTTTAACATACACAGTATCTATTTACCTACTTGTCCTAATTGGGAGTATTTTACATATTTTCCAATGCAGGATCCATAAATGCGTTGCTTTTTTTTTTTTTTTTCATCTCCCTTTAGGCCAAATCCACGTGCCTTTTTTCTTTGTTTTTCATGAGACTGGATTTGGGAATAATCCAAGCAATTTTCTTGAAAACATTACATGTTCTGAAGGTGATTGTTTCTTCGATTTGATTACATTTAAATATTGTACATGCCATAAGAAGGCACAATGTTGTCCCAATATTGGTGATAATAAATTTGATCATTTACATAAAGTGGTGACTGACAGATCTCTCCATGGTAAAGGCATACTTCCCCCCTTCTGTAATGAAAAAGTAATCTATGGGTGACATTTTGAGATCCTGTGACTATTTAGTTCCAAATGCTGTTTTACCCAATGATTTTAATTGCCTGAATCAATTTTATTGGGAGAGCGCAAATAAGTGATTTTTCAAATTAAGTTCTTTCTACATTTATTAACTGAACTTATTCAGTAAACAAAGTATTACCTCCTTTCTTTTATTTTTCCTTATTATTTATTTATTGGTACTAGGGATTGAACACAAGGGCACTTTATAACTGAGCTACATTTCCAGTCCTTTTTTTGGGGGGGGGGGGTTAGAGACATGGTCTCGCTGAGTTGCTTAGGGCCTCACCCTTGCTGACGCTGGCTTTGAACTCTAAATCCTCATGCCTCAGCCTCCTGAGCAGCTGAGATTACAAAAGTGCACCATCACCATCATGCTCTGCTATTTCTAGTCGTCTTTTTTTTTTTTTTTTTTTTTTTTTAGTTTTAGGTGGACACAATATCTTTATTTTATTTTTATGTGGTGCTAAGGATTGAACACAGTGCCCCACGCATGCTAGGCGAGAACTCTACACTGGGCCACAACCCCAGCCCCTCTAGTCTTTTTCTTTTTTATTTTGAGACAAGGTCTTGCTAAGTTGCTTAGGGCCTTGCCAAGTTGCTGAGGCTGGCCTCGAATTTGAGATCCTCCTGCCTTAGCCCCCTGAGTAACAGATTACAGCACCACTGCACCTGGCTGTATTTTTCTTTAAGTCCTGGGGATTGGACTCAGTGGCACTTAACTACTGATCTGCATCCCCATCCCCAGCTCTTTTTTTGTATTTTATTTAGAGCTGGGTCTCACTGAGTTGCTTAGGGCCTCAATAAATTGCTGGGGCTGGCTTTGAACTCAGGATCCTCCTGCCTCAGCCTCTCAAGCCACTGGGATTACAGGCATGCACCATCGTGCCTGACTGTATATTTCTCTAATGCTTTACAACATAGTACTATCATTGTTTTGATGCTCCAGTTGTCACAAATTTGTCCAGTGGGAAACACTTCAGTCCTTTTTACATGATCATTAGTCTTTGAACACTTTTCTTCCTTCATGACACAATATGTATCATGTTTTCTCTGTATATTCTCTGACCTGGAGCTAATAGCCATTTCTCAAAGGAGCCCTAGTTGCTTTTGTTTTTTTGTTGTTTGTTTGTTTTTGGTACCAGGAATTGAACTCAGGCACTCAACTACTGAGCCACATCCTCAGCCCTATTTTGTATTTTATGTAGAATTCATGATCCTCCTGTCAGCCTCCAGAACTACTGGAATTATAGACACGTGCCATCATGCTTTTTACTGGAGAATGGTGTTTAGAAATCAAAATTTGGAGTGTCATTGCTTATCGACCTTTTCAGTAGAAAGAGCCAAAATAAGAAAATAATGAGTTTACACTAGTAATAGTTCCAACACCACAGGTTTTTCCTCACCTTTACCCACTTTGTATGTGTATCTTGTTTCTCTTACCATGTAAACATTGGTTCCCAACACCAATATATTTACTGGTCAAAATTACAAACCAGGGGACAGGCGTGGTGGCACACGCCTGTAATCCCAGGGGCTCTGGAGGCTGAGGCAGGAGGATCATGAGTTCAAAGCCAGCCTCAACAAAAGTGAGGTGCTAAGCAATTCAATGAGACCCTGTCTCTAAATAAAATACATCATAGGGCTGGGGATGTGGCTCAGTGATCGAGTGCCTCTGAGTTCAATTCCTGGTACCAAAAAAAAAAAAAAAAAAAAATTACAAACCATTAGCACTCCAACAATTAAACCTAAAAAATGTTCAGGAGTTCTTTGCAGTTTTTTTGTCCTTAAAACATAACCCATTAAGTATATACAAAGAACTGTGTTCCATTTTGCAAGCATATCTTATATAGAGTGTTTATTTTCAGTTTAGTTAATTTTATATAGAGAAAGTCAAATCTACATAAAAAGCTATTCCCATGCAGGCATGGTGGTGCATACTAGTAAACCCAGCAATGTGGAAGACTGAGGCAGGAGGATCACTAGTGTGAGGCCACCTTGGCAACTTAGCAAGACTATCTTAAGATTTAAAAATAAATTTTAAAAGGGTTGGGGATGTGACTTAGTGGTAGAGTGCCCATGGGTTAAATCCTGAATACCAAAAAATAAAAAGCCAATCCCACAGAAGTCTTGCTCCCTTGCCTGTAACCTCTATCCCATTCCCATCCATTATAAATAACCATTTCCTATAGTTTCTGGTATGTCCTATAGTTTGTTTTTCAAAAATAAGCACATGGCTAGGAGTGGTAGTTCTCACCTATAAGAACTGCTGAGCTTGGGAGCTGAGGCAAGAGGATTGCAAGTTTAAAGCCAGCCTCAGCATCATAGTGAGGCCCTACAAATTTAGGGAGACTATCTCAAAAAGGGCTGAGGATGTGGCTTAGTGGTTAAGGACCCCTAGATTCAATTCCTGGTACAAAATAAATAAGCACATGTATATCTGTCTATATTCTTATTTTCCCCTCTTTTCCTTAACAGAAAAGGTAGCATGCTGTGTGTACTCTTTTCACCTTGCCTTTTTTCACTTAATAATATAAACTGGAAATCTTACTGTACCATTTCATAGAGCTTTTCCATATATATATTTGGTTCAGTGGATTAAACCCAAGGGTGCTTAACCACTGAGCAACATCCACAGCCTATATATATATGTGTGTGTGTGTGTGTGTGTGTATATAATTTATTATAGACAGGATCTCGTTGAGTTTCTAAGTACCTTGCTAATAGGGTGCTGAGACTGGCTTTGAACTTGTGATTCTCCTGCTTCAGCTTCCCTATCCTCTGGGATTATAGGCATGCACTACTGTAGCAGGCCTTTTCCTCATATTTTTAATGGATACTTCATGGGAACAGTGTTCTAACAGTAGTTAGACCAGGCACAGTGGTACACATCTAGAATCCCAAAAACTCAAGCAACTGAGGCAGGAGGATCAAAAATTTGAAGCTAACCTGAGTAACTTAGTAATTTTAATTTCTTTTTAAAAAATGGCTGGAGATGTATCTCAGTGGTAAAGTGGCTCTGCATTTGATCCCCTGTACTGCAAAAAAAAAAAAAAACAGTAGAATTAATCCTTTTTAAAAATTTTATTTATTTATTTGTAGTTCAACACAATATTTTTATTTTATTTTTATGTGGTGCTGAGGATGGAACCCAGCACCCTGCATGTGCTAGGTGAGTGCTCTACCACTGAGCCACAACCCCATCCCCTAGAATTGACCTTTTTGATGGTACTAGGGATCAAACCCAAGGCTTCAATGCATGCTAGGCAAGCACATTACCACTGAGATACACCCCCCAGCCACTGAAATATATTTTTTTAAATATTTATTTTTTAGTTATAGGTGGACACAATATCTTTATTTCATTTTTATGTGGTGCTGAGGTTTGAACCTAGTGCCTCACGTGTGCTCTTACCACTGAGCCACAACCTCAGCCCCTGAAATGTTTTTAATATACCTTTCATTAGTTATTTAATATACTATATTGCTTCTTAAATGCTTGTGCCTGAAGAAAAGCAGATTCAATGAGAGATAGATGGAGGCTTATAGGATGTGAAAGAGGACTTCAAATATATTAGTGTTAAAGGCTCCAATCTTGACTCAAAACATGGTTTTAGGTTTGGGGGTGTAGCTTACTGGTAGTGTGAGCTTAGACTGTTCAAGGCCCTGGGTTCAGTCCCCAGCACCAACAAGAAAATGGTTTTTCATTCATGTAACACATGACCCAGAAATTTCACTCCTACTTTTTCTACCCAACAATTAAAATCATGTACAAGGATGTGGGGAAAAATGTACACTCATACATTGCTGGTGGGACTGCAAATTCATGTAACCACTTTGGAAAGCAGTGTGGAGATTCCTCAGAAAACTTGGAATGGAAACAACATTTTACCCAGCTATCCCACTCCTTGGTTTATACCCAAAAGACTTAAAAACAGCATACTACAGGAACATAGCCACACCAATGTTTATAACAGCTGAATTCACAATAGCTAAACTGGAACCAACCTAGATGCCCATCAGTAGATGAATGGATAAAGAAACTGGTGTATATACACAATGGAATATTACTCAGCATTAAAAAAGAATAAAATTGTGGCATTTGCAGGTAAATGGATGGAATTAGAGGATATTATGCTAAGTGAAGTAAGCCAATCCCAATGAATTAAAGGCTGAATGTTTTCTCTCACTAGTGGATGCTGATCTATAATGGGGATGGAAGGGAAGAATGGAGGATCTTTGGATTGGGCAAAGGGGAGGGTGGGGAGAGGTTATGAGGGTAGGAAAGATGGTGGAATGAGGTAGATATCATTACCCTAAGTACATATATGATTGCATGAATGGTGCATCTCTACACCATGTACAACCAGATAATTGAAATGTTGCACTCCATTTGTGTATGATGAATTGAAATGCATTCTGTCATGTGCAACTAAATATAATAAAAAATAAATAAAATCATATATACACAAAAAACGTTGTACACAGATATTAGTGATAATAAAAAGTGAAAACCCAAATGTCCATCTGATGAATAGAGAAATAAGATATATTCATCCAATGGAATATTGACAATAAAAAGAAATTAAGTACTGATATGTGATATAAAATGGAATTTGAAGACATTATGCTAGATGAAGAGAGTTATAAAAAACTACATATTGTATGATTGTATATAATATCCAGAAAAGACAAATCTATAAAGAAAGACTAGTGGTTGTCTAGGAATGGCAGTGGACTATTAACAGGGATTAACTGCATGAAGCATTACTGGAGTCATAGAAATGTTCTAAAATTGCATTTTGGTGATGTTTGCACAACTAAATTTACTAAAAATTTTTAAATTATACACTTGAAATAGGTGAATTTTATGGTAGCTAAAACTATCTCTCAGTAAAACTGAGGGAGTATTTTGTTTTTATGGTGCAGGGTGTCAAACCTAGGGCCTTGCACATACTAAGCACATGCCTTACCAATGAGCTACACCCCAGCCTCAAAACTGTTGTTTTTTTTTTTTTTAAACATCAGCCTCAGCAACTTGGATCTCTTCTCAAAATAAAAAATAAAAATACTGAGGATGTAACTTAGTGGTAGAATGCACCTGGATTCAATCCCTAGTACCAAGAAAACAAACACATGGTTTTGCTCTTCCTTACTAGTACACTTAGTATTAGTGCACTACACCATACCCAATTACCATCCAGAATTAGTCACACATTTTTAAAAATAACACATAGGATATAGTGCTGAGATAGTGAAAGGGGCAAAGGATATTAAGTGATGTGTCTTTACACTTAGTCCCTAATGTAGTAGTGCTTGTAATATACAAGACCTAAATTATTTACTAACTGTAGTTTGAGAAAAAATATTGCCTGCACAGAACTAACTGACCTGTTATTAGTGAGAATCTGGAAGAGAAGCTAAATCCTGAGGATGGATAAGTGTGGCGCAAGAATGAGAGTCAATATTAGAACACAGTTCCCTACCCTGATTATCTGGTAAAGAAAAACAAGTACAGTTCCATGTTGGTGCACTGTGCAATATGACAGTTATAGTTATTTCATCCTTTGCAAGTTGAAGAGAATTTAGAAAGCACTCAAAGAAGAAGGGAGAGGAATTGCTTTGATTTTTTTGAAAGCAACAGACCTGGTAAAATCAGAAAAGTTTATTATCATTTGTTTTGAATAATTTCAGCAAGTTGATCTTCATTCAAATTCCTTTTAAATATAAAAACCAAGTTGTCAGTGTATACTCAAGACCATCAAATCAGTCCAGTATAAAAAGGACTCCTACTCAGACTTGAGGATTATACCTCCATTTATTAGAAGAAAACTGTTTGCCCATACAAAACCCAGGCCTACGTTTAGTAACTTGCTAGGCAAAAGTGGAGTAGGAGGCACTGTTAAATTAAAAGTCACTTAAGCACCTTGCTTGCCTGTAATCCCAGCGGCTTGGGAGGCTGAGACAGGAGGATCTCGAGTTTAAAGCCAGCTTCAACAAAAGGGAGGGGGCTGGGGATGTGGCTCAAGCGGTAGCGCGCTCGCCTGGCATGCGTGCGGCCCGGGTTCGATCCTCAGCACCACATACCAACAAAGATGTTGTGTCTGCTGAGAACTAAAAAATAAATATTAAAAATTCTCTCTCTCTCTCTCTCTCCTCTCTCACTCTCTCTTTAAAAAAAAAAAAAAAAAAAACAAAAGGGAGGCACTAAGCAACTCAGTGAGACCCTGTCTCCAAATAAAATAAAAAGTAGGGTTGGGGATGTGTCTCAGTGGTTGAGTGCCCCTGAGTTCAATCCCTGGTACCAAAATAAATAAATAAAAGTCACTTGAAAAGATGACAGTAAGGCAGAGGTTGTGGCTCAGTGGTAGAGCATTTGCCTAGCACATGTGAGGCACTGGGTTTGATCCTCAGCACCACATAAAAATAAATAAATAAAGGTATTGTGTCCAACTACAACTAAAAAAAAATTAGGAAAAAAAAAGATGACAGTAACTTGGGCAAAGGGGTGCACACCCATAATCCCAGCGGTTTGGGAGGCTGAGGCAGGAGGATCCCAAGTTCAAAGCCAGCCTCAGCAAATTAGTGAGGCACTAAGCAACTCAGGGAGACCCTGTCTCTAAATAAAATATAAAAAAGGGCTGGGATGTGGCTCAGTGATAAAGTATCTCTGGGTTCAATCCCCAGTACCAAAAAAAAAAGACAGTAGCTAAACAGAAAGTTCCCCAAGAAGGGCTGGGGGTGTAGCTATGTGGTAGAACACTTGCCTAATGTGTGAAACCATGGCTCAATCCCCAGCACCATAAAAATTAAATCATTAATTCTCATAGACAGCCACACAGGTGGCAGCCATGTTTCTAGCCTGTATAAGCCTTTATGTTCTGTAAGCATCCCAGGGAACATCAGTCAAAATATATAAATGCTTTACCCACAGCAGGGGTAAGTACAGATTTTTTTTTTTTTTTTTTTTTTTTTTTTTTTTTTTAGTTTTCAGTGGACACAACATCTATGTTTGTATGTGGTGCTGAGGATCGAACCCAGGCCGCATGCATGCCAGGCGAGCGCGCTACTGCTTGAGCCACATCCCCAGCCCAAGAACAGATCTTATGACCTTCATTTCTCAATTCTCAAAAACCCAGTGCTATTTGGCATGGTAGAATGGGGTATGCACAGTGAAATTATCAACCATTATTTGTCATATGAAGAAGTATTCCTTCCATACCAAATGAAGGTCAAAAAGACAAGGAGAAAAGGAGAAGCTGGCATACTGGGAGATGGCAAGCTGAGCAACTCTAGCAAAGCCTGATATCCTATATAACCACAACGGGGACAGCATATTCCAACTCTTGGGAGCTGTTAAAAGAGATAGAAAGAGCCGGGCCCAGTGGTGCACGCCTGTAATTCCAGCCGCTCAGGAGGCCGAGACAGAAGGATCATGGGTTCAAAGCCAGCCTCAGCAATGGTGAGGTGCTTAGCAACTCCATGAGACCCTGTCTCTAGATAAAATACAAAACAGGGCTGGGGATGTGGCTCAGTGGTCAAGTGCCCCTGAGTTCAATCCCTGGTACCAAAAAAAAAAAAAAACTGGAACAAGCTACCCTGTAATCTCAGGTACTTGGAAAGCTAAGACAGGAAGATTAGAAGTTCAAGGCCAGCTTCAGCAACTTTGTGAGACCCTGTTTCAAATTTTAAAAAATTAAAAAGGGTTGGGGATATAGTTCAGTGGTAAAGTGCTTGCCTTGTATACACCAGGCCCTGGGTTCCATTACAAGCACCAGACAAACAAATTGGGCCAGGCATGATAGTGCACACCAATAATCCAATAATTTGGGAGTCTGACAGCTGAGGCAGGAGCATTGCAAGTTTGAGGCCAGCCTCAGCAACTAAGCAAGGCTCTAAGCAATAATTTACTGAGACCCTGTCTTAAAATAAAAATGGCTGGGAATGTGGCTCAGTGGTAAATCATGCCTCTTAAAATCCCTAGTATCAAAAAAAAAAAAAAAAGAACTCCTGACAATGATTGGCAGGACAGTTTAATTGTTTTGTTTTTGTTTTATTTAGGGAATTGACCTTGAGTGGGTTTATTTTACAGGAAGTGACTAAGAGGGAAAGGGGCCACACAGAAGACTCAGATACAGCTTTTCGAGGGATTGAATAACTTCCACATCACCAAGTCGACAGTGCTAGTGAAATCTAATAGCAGATCTCATTGTGGGACCCTATCTGCAGTGCATGCACTATCATCATTAAATGCCAAACCCATCTCCTGAAGCAGAGGAACCAATAATAAGTCCATGGCTGATATAAACATTTGTCTCAAAGGCATAATGAGGAAAACATCAAAAAGAACAGGACCACATTATGCTTTTTGCATTTTTTTACAGCCTCATTGAGAATTCCCAGTTTCTACTAACCCAACTTCTCTGAAACTATTATCTGGTATTATATGGAACCTCCAAAAATGTTCAGTGATGAAATAAGTGTGGGAAACAATGCATACATAATAAGTTATAAAGTTCTACTGTAAAGAAACCTGATGGGTTTTATATAAATTGCTGATTCCTGAGCTTATTGGACAATAGATAGAACCCTTTAAAAATGAACATCTATTACTAGCTCAGATTTTTGGAAAATGCTGCTTAACCATTTTTGTGAAAATGTCTTATCTCAAGAATAAGAGGAATGTGTCAACATTGGGAACATGCATAACACAAATAAAATGGCTTTCAAAAACTCAGTATATTAGGACACCTATAATCCTAGCTACTTAGGAGGCTGAGGCAGGAGAATCACAAGTTTGAGGCAGCCTAGGCAACTTAGTGAGACCCTGTCTCAAAAAGTCAAAAGGAGTGGGGATGTAGTTAAGTGGTAAAGAACCCTGAGGTTTCACCAATATGGGAAAATTAGCATATCAGGACTGGGGGTGCAGCTCAATGGGGCTTATGTGGCATGCATAGACCCTAGGTTCAATCCCCAGGATCACAAAAAAATATTAGAATATCTAAAAGTTTAAGGCAATGATTTAAAAATCATTGTCTGAGGCACTTGCTCAATGGTAGATACAGCAAAGAAAGTCAAAGTTAGATTTCAAAGCAGACAAGCAAATGCTTCCCAAGGACAGCATGAAGATTGCTGTGCTTCATCACGGCTTGGCCAGTAGAAAAAAGAACAGCATTCAGTGGCATCTCCTTTTACTACTTGTGACAGGGGATACAGATAGACACACAAACTTCCTCCACAAGGTTCATACCAAACTTAAAAGCAGCTGTGTATGAAATAGTCTGTCTTCTAGGTTCCTCCAAAAGCCAAATAACCAGGAGTCTAGGGCTTCTAGGGGAAGAGAGAAATGGCTCATGCTGGCACTTGTAACTACTATCAAAGGAAGCTTCCTTTACATTTTTAGGTGCAGTCTCCAAAGTAGCACCCAAAAGCTACAAGAGAACACATTTCTTAGCATTCTTCTTTGAGGCAGGGTAAAGCACTGCCCGGACAGCTTCCAAAAACACCTCATGTACCCCATCCTGCATCAGGGCTGAACATTCCAGATACTTCACAGCCCCTACCTGCTTAGCCAGCGAATTGCCTTGTTGAGGAGTTGTGGGCACTAGGCTCTGCTCCTTCAGCTTCTTCACTGTCTCATGGTCACTTCGCAGGTCCCTCTTAGTGCCTACCAGCAGAACAGGTACATTGGGGCAATGATGGGAGACTTCTGGGTGCCACTTATGCCTCACATTGGCATAAGAGGATGGGTTGCCAATGGAAAAACAAATGACAAAAATATTGGTCTGGGGGTAGGAGAGTGTCCGCAATCGATCATATTCTTCTTGGCCAGCAGTATCCCACAGATTCAGGCTGACGATTTGGCCATCCACAGATGTTTGGGCACTATAGTTGTCAAAGACAGTGGGGATATACTCCTCAGGAAATGCATTTGTAGTGTAACTGATGAGGAGGCAGGTCTTACCCACAGCCCCATCTCCTACAACCACACATTTGATGGTCTGCATTCTTCCCTTGTAATCCTATGTACAAGAGAAAAAAATATTCAGAGATATTTGGTTAATTTAGGGAGCTTTATAAACATTTCTGAGAAGGAAAAGAAAGGAAAGCACCCCCCCACACACACACACACATACTCCCTGTGCCCCTAACACCATAGAAGAGTAATCTGGGGAAGCATGTATAGGACAAGAGTTTTTACACTGGACTGTTTTTACACTTTACAGTCCACTGGAGCTTGTGGACTGTGAGAGGACAGGCTTTAGTTGGTTCTAGAAGCCACCTCTGGGATTGTGAAAATAGTATATGTATGTGTATAAATAAATTTTTCTTCAAAGAAGATCCAAAGTTGTCAGATTCTCAAAAGTAGTTGTAAATCCAGACAGATTAAAAACTATTCATATACATAGGTATGAATGTTAAGTTGTTGTCATAAGGTTTGGATATACTATATCAAAGGTGCTAACATACTGCAGGTACTCAGGAAATGGTAACTATAATTTTAAAAAACATAGGCATAGAAAGGTTTCCAAGATTGAAAAATGGTACTCACCATATAATAGTTATTTGTTACACATTTGTCATAGGGTCTGGATATACTTTATCAAAGGTGCTAACATTGCAGGTGTTCAGTAAATGGGGATTGATTAATTTTAAAAAAATAAGTGTAGCCAGTCTCAGTGGCTCATGCCTTTCTTTATTCCAACAACTCAGGAGGCTAAGGCCGGAGGCCTTGTAAGTTGGATGCTTGCCTGGGCACCTTGTCTCAAAATTTAAAAAAATAATAATAAAAAGAGCTGAGGATGTATTTCAGTGCCAAGGCACCCCCCCAGGTTCAATCCCCAGTACCAAAAAATGAGTCAAGGCTCCGAAGTTAAACTTCCTGGAGTCAAAAAGCTTCCTAAGCTTCATGAACTTGGGCAAGTTCTTAACCTGTGTTAAATAAAAGATATGTGTAGTAGTTATTAATCACTGTCATATACACAGTCCTCATTAAATGTTAGAAGCTATGATGATGTATTTTGTTCATTTTTTGTTGTTGATGTTGTTGTTTTACTTTTGTGTGTGTGGTGTTAGAAATCCATTTCAGGGCTTCTCAAACGCCAGACTGTTGCTCTACCACTGAACAACACCCTCAGCCCCGGACTTCTTAATTCTGCTAATACTATACTACTGAGGGAAGGCAAAAATTCTGTAATATGGTTTCAATGCTAGAAAAACCAGAGGTCTCATACCATCTTCGCACCTTATCTGAACAAAACAACACCACCATGCTATTGTCCATTTCTTCATGAATCAAGTATTTCAGAGTAAATGATATGACATAGATAATCTCCAGAAGTATATATAAACATGTGCTCTCATGTTTACACCCCCATATTAATATCTTATCACTGTCCTGCCCTCAATTTAAGCTGCAAAGCATTCTACTTTCTTTTAAAAAAAATTCCTTGTTCTTTTTAGTTATACATGACAGTAGAATATATTTTGTTATATCATACATACATGGAGTACAACTTCCCATTTTTGTGGTTGTACATGATGTGGAGTACATTCTACCTTAGATTCTTAGTTATTGCAATTTTGCTTTGTTCGGTACTGGGGATTGAACCCAGGGGTGCTTAACCACTAAGCCACATCCCCAGCCCTTTTTATTTTGAGACAGGGTCTTGCTAAATTACTTAGGACCTCACTAAGTTGCTAAGACTAGCTCTGAACTTGGAATCCTTCTGCCTCAGCTTCCTAACCTGTTGGGATTACAGGTGTATACCACCACATTCAGCAGACTATATCTCTCTCATTTTCTTTTTCTTTCTTTCTTTTCTTTTCTTTCTTTCTTTTTTTTTTTTTTTTTTGAACCAGAGATTGAACCAAGGGGCACTTAACCACTGAGCCACATCACCAGGCCTTTTTATATTTCATTTAGAGACAGGGACTTGATGAGTTGCTTAGGGCCTCGCTAAATTGCTGAGACTAGCATATATATATATATATATATATATATATATATATATATATATATATTAGTTATAGATGAACACAGTACCTTTATTTTGTTTATTTATTTTTGTGTGGTGCCGAGGATCAAACCCAGTACCTCACACATGCGAGGCTAGTACTCTATCACTAAGCCACAACCCCAGCCCTGAGGGCTGGCTTTTAACTCACAATCCTCCTACCTCAGCCTCCCAATCTATTTGGATTATAGGTGTGTGCCACCATGCCTAGCCAGACTCAATCTTTTTTATTTATTTTAAAAATATTTTTGTAGTTGTAGATGGACACAATACCATTATTTTATTTATTTATTTTTATGTGGTACTGAGAATTGAACCCAGTGCCTCATACTTGCAAGGCAGGCACTCTGCCACTGAGCCACAATCCCAGCCCCAGACTCAATCTTTATAACATTAATTTCTTCAAGCGTCAGAACATGGAGGAAGGGGATTGTCATATGTATTTGGTTACAGGGATAAAAACAAGAATTTCTCACCTTGGTAATTTAGAGAAATAACATTCCCATATTGCTGTCATATTAGGCAAACAAAAGAAGAAAAAAAAAAAAAACCTCATCATGGGTCAGTTTAAAGAGAAGTTGGCCTTCAGAGCATGTTTCACATAAGTCCACTAGGGGTAGCTCTCTGCTCACATAATTCTAACCAGGGAGACCGTCCATGGATCCCATACCTAAAAAAAGTCCAGAGCATAATTCAGCTCTGATGGGCAACTATGCCCTAGGAATAGGCATAACAATTACACAAATTCTATGATAACAGGGCAAAGCCACCACCACACTCCCTGTGAATAGCCTTTTTTGACTTCCTGTCTGGATTCTCTTCTTCCTATGAATTCCTACATCAGTTAGCCTATGCAACCCCACTTCCAGCCTCCTTAGATATCATCCAGTGTGTGAAACTCCTGCTCAAAGGGATTGCTTTCAGGACAACAGTACAATTGGGGGATGGTAGGTTGCAGAACCAGGGTAAAACTTAAGCACAAAGACTACTTTGTACCCTAAGTTCAGCCCCTAAAATAACTGGGAAAAGTTATCTGTACTTGTTTATCTTGGTTTATATCTACTAGTGCTCCTGGCATATATGGTCTACAGATAATGACTATACATGGCACACTAATGGCTGGGTGCCTAGGTAATAGTATGCAGTCAGAATATCACAGAAATAAGAAAATCCAAAGCAGTACCAACTTCTTATAAACACCTTCATTCATAGCAAAATCTCTATGAAAGGCAGGGTTTAGCAAAAGTCCCATTGCGGGGGGGGGGGGGKGGCTTCTTTGCACAATTCACTTATTTGTATTAAGCCCATGTATTCTGGACACTGTTTTCTTATGTATGTGTTTGAAATTTTTAATAGTTATAAAGTCTCAAAATGATGCTAAAAATATCTTAAAGGGTTGGGGGCTCTGAGAAAAAGCTAGGAATTATTTAAAGAAAGGAAAATATTTTAGGTTGCATCACCTATATGAGAAAAGGTTTATATCAACTCCAACATCTGGCACCACGCTGTCCTTGTCAAGGATCATGCACAATTTTCCTCACCTCATCACCACCACTATCCATATATACTCCCAGATTCTACCCTAGGCACTGCACTGCTGGGAGGGATCTTTAAAGGGGTAAAAACAACAAAAACTTCCTTAACCCTAGAAACTTAGTTTGGTGGAAAGGATAGGCTATACATTAAAAGGCAAATAAGGCCAGATCTAGTGGTGCACTCCTGTGTCTTCCAGTCTTTTTTTTTTTTTTTTGTAGATGGACACAATACCTTTATTTTATTTTTACATGGCTGCTGAGGATTGAACCCAATCCCTTACACGTGCTAGGCAAATGCTCTACCACTGAGCTACAGCCCCAGCTCTTCCAGTCTTATCAAGTATCCTCCACAAATAGTCTACCCAGAAGGCAATTTTCTCCTAAGCTATATTCACCATATATTCACAACATTCAAGTCAGGCATGGTGGCAACCCACCTGCAATCCCAGCAGCTCTGGAGACTGAGGCAGGAGGACTGCAAGTTCAAAAGCCAGCCTCAGCTACTCAGTTACTGAGACCCTATTTAATAATTTAAAAAGGAGTATGGGGCTGAGGTTCATTGGTTAAGTGCCCCTGGGTTCAATCCCCAGTACAAAAAAAAATCAACAATATTCAGGATCAGCTCAGAATAGTACTGTTTATAACACATTCTCCAAGTTGCAATCTTCCCACGTCTGTGTCTACATCCATGTAAAATTACTCTGTAACTTTCTGAAACCAAAACAATTCAGTATAAGTTTCCCATTTTTATTTACTACTTTCTTCAATTTAGTTATCTACAGAACAGAGGAAGCTTTTTACATTGAAGACTGCTTTGATTCAAGACTGGTCAAAGGAGACTTTCAAGGCGCTTGTGGATGATGGAAACCTAGTGAACACTTCCCAACCCTGGGGGAGGGGTGGGAAGAGGAGGAGGGTTTTTATCTGAGGCTAGGAAACTTAACCTAAGGAGGGGCAAGTCTAGTGACCCAATCACAGAAACCACAAGCCCACTGGGCACTTTCCTCACATTCTCCACCAAGGGTAGTATACTCCAGTTTCATAAGGACTACTAAGCCTGGGACAGAGAGGTGCCCCCCACCACACACACACACACACAACATAGGATTCACAAATAGGAAGGGTTGGGTCAATCTCCCAGACCTAGCAGACCTACACATATCTCACTCTACCCCACCCCCAGCAAATTCCTTCCATTCAGGGAATAGCTCAAATCCTAAGGCAGCTGTCCCGGGGGAATAGGGAGACTCTAGCAGAGAAGAAGGTAGTTGGCTGTGGGAGGGTCTGTCTGTCCATAAAGGTTACCCGGCAAAGTCTGATCTTTATCCAGCGCTGCCGATGGATTGCTGCTGGCCGCCTGGCGAAGCGTCCGGGAGTTCTTGAGTGGGGCTAGGAAAGACGAGCTGTGAGAGCTCAGCGACACATCCGGGTAGCGACTGAGTCCCACCCCATCGTTGGACGCAGTCTTCACTCGATGCCCCGAGACCTCCTGGGAAGTGGAGTTCCAGGGCCCGCCTAGCTATCAGCGAGACACAGGCTCTTAAACCACACTTTAAGGACTACTTAAGATCCCAACCCCAGTACCAAATGACTTCTTTACCTTAGCGAAATGAGACCACTCTCTCCTTCCAGTCTCCAGAGCTCCACCGTGCCTGGATTGAATGTTTCTTATTGTGAATGTAGCTTAGGAGAAAATTGCCTGCTGGGTAGACTATTTGTGGAGGATGCTCTATTAGATAAGACTGGAAAACTCAGAGGTTTGGACCTCTGACTTTCCCAAGACCAATATTAATATAGACTTAAGGACCAGAGAAGGTTTTTTAAAAAATGAAGGGGATAAAATGAGGTAGTGAGGGAATTAGGGTTGCTTTTTGTTACCATATATTAGTTTGTATACGTTTTTTGTCCTTTTGGGGGGCCGGCAGAAAGGTACTGGGGATCAAACCTAGGAGTGCTTTACCATTGAGCTATACTCCCAGTCCTTTTATTTTTATTTATTTATTTATTTATTTAGAGAGAGAGAGAGAGAGAGAGTGTGTGTTTTAATATTTATTGTTTAGTTTTTTTTCCAGCAGACACAGCATCATTGTTTGTATGTGGTGCTGAGGATCAAACCCAGGCCACACGGATGCCAGGCGAGTGCGCTACCACTTGAACCACATCCCCAGCCCCCCAGTCCTTTTATTTTACTTTGGGGTGGGGTGCTAGAAATCAAACCCCAGGCTTCATGCATGCCAGGCAAGCACTCTATCACGGAGTCACACCCCCAACCCCATTTACATTTTTTAGAGTTTTATATAAATGAAATCATACAGTATGCATTCTTTTAAAACAACTTTATTGACATACAAATTCACATAACCACACAGTAAATCCATTTACAGTGCACGATTCAAGCTAGGGTGTAGCTCACACACCTATAGTCTCAGCTACCAGGGAACCTGAGATAAGGTGGCAACTTTTGAGGCCAGTCCTGGCAATTTAGTGCAACACTGTCTCAAAATTTAAAAAAGAAAAAGGCTGGGAATGTAGCTCAGTGGTAGAGCACCCTCCCGGGTGCAATTCCTGTACCACCATATTATCCACCCCCCAAAAAAAAAATTAAGAAAAAGTACAATTCAATTTTTTTAAGATTTGTTTTTTTGTTGTAGTTGGACACACTATCTTTATTTTATTTATTTTTATGTGGTGCTGAGGATTGAAGCCAGGACCTCACATGTGCTAAGCAAGCGCTCTGCTGCTGAGCCACAACCCCAGCCTCTACTATGCTAGTATTACACTGTTTTAAAATTGTAAAATGTGTAGCACAATTTGCCATTTTAGCATTTATTTCAGTCCTTGGGATGGAACCCAGGGAATCCAGCATGCTAGACAAGCCCTCTACCTCCTAGCTACAACTTCAGCCTCCATGTAACCATTTATGTAGTTCAAAAGCATTGAATACATTCTTAAATTGTGCAACTATTACCACCATTTCTGAAATTTTCATCACCTGAAACAAATCCCTGTACATATTAAAAATAACTCTCCATGTAGAGCTCAGTGGTGCCATCTGTAATTCCAACACTTTGAGAGGCTGAGGCAGGAGGATCACCAGTTCAAAGCCAGCCTCAGCAACTTAGTGAGGCTATAAGCAACTCACTAAACCCCCCCCCCCCCCCCCGTCTCTACATAAAACATAAGGGCTGGTGATGTGGCTCAGTGGTTAAGCAACCCTGCATTCAAACCCTGGCTCCACAAAAAAATAAAACTCCCCATTACCTCGTTCCTTTCCCCTAGCCTTTGGTAACCTCTAATTCACATTTTGTTTATGAATTTGCTATTCTAGATATCTCATAACAGTGAAGTCATACAGCTACATATTTGACTTTGTGTGGCTTATTTTACTTAGCAAATATTTAAGGTTTATCCATATTATACAATGTATCAGTACTCCCTTCCCTTTTTTGGTGGGGGAGTACTTAAGATTGAACCTAGGGACAGTCTACCACTGAGCTACATCCCCATCCCTTTTTTAAATTTTGAAATGGTCTTGCTAAATTGCCTAGGTTGGGCACAATCTTGTGGTCCTCCTGCCTCAGCCTCTCAAGTCACAGGGATTACAGGTGTGCCCTGCCACAGGCCTGCCTAGCACTTCATTCATTTTTATGGTTGAATAATATTCAACTGTATGGATACACGAAGTTTTGTTTATTGATTCATCTGTTAATGGACATCTGGATTATTTGCACCTTTGGGATATTATCAATAATACTGTAAGGAAACCTGGCATTCAAGTATCTTGTTTCATTTTCTCCATTGTTTTTCACTGATTTCTACCTTTTATTTCTGTTCTTATCCTTTGAGTTTTATTTGTTCTTCCTTGTTTATTAAGTGAAAACTGAAGTCATTATTTTGAGATCCTTCTTCAGTTCTAACAATGGTTTCTGGAGGGTTTAAGGGGTATTATCAGCTTGCTTTGGTTTTGAAAGCATCCTGAGCTGGGCATGGTTGTACATATCTGTGGTCTGAAAACAATAAACATATCATTAATTTCTGGTAGATTTGTTTATGCTGGGGATTGAATCCAGTGCCTCAATCATATTGGGAAAATACTACTGAGCTGCACCCCAATACTCCAAATGAAGGTGTTTATTGCTAAAAACTTATCCCATTTTTTGCTTTAGAAGAATTCCATAAGTTATGATATGGTTTTGCTCAGTTCAAAATATTTTCTTTCTTTTTTTTTTAATTTTATTATTTTTTTTTATTGGTCGTTCATAACAAAATATTTTCTTTCTTAAAAAAATATTTTATTAGTTGTTGATGGACCTTTATTTATATTTGTATGTGGTGCTGAGAATCGAACCCAGTGCCTCACATATGCTAGGCAAGCACCGTACCACTGAGCCACAACCCCAGCCCCAGTTCAAAATATTTTCTAAGTTCTCTTTTGATTTCTTCTTTGATCCATGGATTATTTAGAAGTACACTATTTCAAGTATTTAGGGATTTTCCAGATCTTTCTTAATGATACCTAGTTCAATTCCATTGTGCTCAGATAACTTTTCTATGTCTTGGTTCTTGTTGAATTTATAGACTTACTTTATGACCTAGAACATAGACTATTATGATAAATAGTCCATGTAACTGAAAAAAAATGTATTTTGTTGTTGGATAGAGTCTTCTATAAATATCAACCAGATAAATTTGATTGATAGTATTGTTCACTTCTACTATATCCTTGCTTATTTTTGTTGTTGTTGTTACTGCAGATTGAACTCAGGGGCACTCGACCACTGAGCCACATCCCCAGCCCTATTTTGTGTTTCATTTAGAGACAGGGTCTCACTGAGTTGCTTAGTGCCTCACTTTTGTTGAGGCTGGCTTTGAACTCACAATCTGCTTGCCTCTGCCTCCTGAACCACTGGGATTATAGGTGTGCACCACTGTGCTTGGCTATCCTTGCTGATTTTATGCCTACTTGTCCTATAAATTATTTGTGGGGATGGTTACTGGGATTGAACCCAGGGGCATCCGGCTACGAAGCTACACCTCAGCCCATTTTTAAATTTTGAGACAAGGTCTAAGTTATTGAGGGCCCTGCTAAAATGCTGAGGCTGGCCTCAAGCTTGTGATCTCCTGCCTCAGCCTCCTGATTTGCTGGGATTACAGGCACACACCACCATACCTGGCTTGTGTTTTTTTTTTTAAATTTTGTGGTGCTGGGGATTGAACCCAGGGCCTTGTGCATGTGAGGCAGGCACAACGGAGCTATATCCCCAGCCCGTAATTTGATTTGTATATTTTTAAGTCTTTATTTAGGATAGTTAAGGCTTCTTCATTAATTGACCCCTTAGTTGAAATTACATTCTTTATTCTTGGTATCTTTGCTCTGAAATCTATTTTGTCCAATATTACTATATTGGATTACTGTTAGCATGGTAACATCTTTTGACCTAATTTTACTTTTAACCTATTCATGTCTTTATATTTTAAGAGCTTCTCCTGCAGGAATAACAACAGTCAGGTCTTGGTTTTTACTCTACCTAATCATCTGTAACCTGCAATTGGGGTGTTTAGATTGTCAAAAATGTGACTGCTGATATGATCATATTTGAACATATTATTTTGCTATGTTTCCTAATTGTCCCATCTAATCTTTGTCTCATTTTCTGCCTTCTTTTGAATTAATCAATACTGATTTTACTCCATTTTATCTCTTTGTTGGCTTATTAGCTATACCTTTTTTATGGGGGTGGGGGTTCTGGAGATTGAACCCCAGGGTCTCATCCATTAAGCAAGCACTCTACCACAAAGTTGAATTCCTCAGCCCAAGCTATACCTGTTTCCAACCTATAATTTTTTTTAAGCAGCTGCTTCAAGGTGTATAATGCACATCTTTAGTTTTTCACAGTCTACCTTTAAGTATTACTATACTGAGGTCAGGAGGAAGAGATAAGGCTAAAAAGATAGGGAAATGGGTCCCTGGATGACTTCCTGGGCAGCAAAGCACACACTAAAGCAGCTACAAATTTTTGCTGAGAAACTTACAAAAACGATATTTTTATTTTTGGTACTGGCGATTGAACTCAGGGGCACTCAAACACTGAGCCACATTCCCAACCCTATTTTGTATTTTATTGACAGGATCTCACTGAGTTGCTTAGTGTCTTGCTTTTCACTGAGGCAGACTTTGAACTTGCAATCCTCCTGTCTCAGCCTCCCTAGCTGCTGGGATTATGGGTGTGCACCAGTGTGCCCCACTAAAAATGTTATTTTTAAATTGGGACATATGTGACCTGGAGTCCATAGGAAATCAGGATATATATGACGGAGAGTCCACAGGCTCTCCAAATAAAGAAAATGCCTGATCAATACTTTGATTGGGCCAGGGACTGACTTCCTTAAACTTATAGATCCATATAAACCCTATACAATAG